CACTCAGGCATACCGCCAAGTAGTACAGACAGGATTATATCATCGTCCTCACTACATAGTCTTGCACATGTAGAGACATCTATCACATCAAAAATGATTTCAAATAGTTCATTTCTGTCATTCATATTCAATGTACAATACAAAAAGACATGCTTAATAATATCCTGAGCTACAATTCTACATCGACATTCCCTAGATTCTATATTTAGGCATCCCAGCCGTACAAGATGAGACGGGTTTGGGAACTGTTCAGGACGTTCAAGTGCAAGCAGCCAGAGTCTGTGTTCTTTACCATTACGTAGCGAGACATATCTATTTAAGTTAAGTCTAGGTATAAGCTTAGAGCATACAGCTTCCTGGTCTGCAAAACAATCTTTTCCTTAACAATATCAGACCATGCCTTTTTACTTGGGAAGCTACATTTAATAAGATAATCTTCTATATCTGCATAGAGATTGTATTTTTTGACAAGTCTAAGCAATATAATATGCCGTAAAAGGCGACTAACGGGATCGGATGGTCATTACTTACTTACTTACTAACTTTGGAGATTTAACGTGCGCTTTCCGACTGATGCGTATTTCGCACACGGGCCCGGCCAGGCCATTTAATGTGTTTCCGAAAGGGGCGAAAGTGGTGTGTGCAACCCAAGAGGGGGCTTTAGGGGTTGCTTATATAGAGTTTGGGAATTTTGAGATTTGGAATAGATGCCGATGGGGTAGGGGAGGAGAACTAAGGGAGCTGGGTATGGTGGATTTTTGTGTGTTTATGTAATTTTGATTTGGTGGATTATAGTGTTTTTAGATGCGTTTTATTAGTTCCGTTTTGATTAAGAATACGCCTAAGGCCTTGAAGTTTTCTAGTTTATTTTGTGGGTTTAGTATTGCTTCTAGAGTGAGAGCCTGGTTTAGATTGAGGGTGGTTTGTAATGCGGTTCGATGTGTTAGGTAGTGTGTGCAGTGGATGAGTGCGTGTTCTGGGGTTTCTAGTTGTTTGCAGTGTGGGCAGTTACCTGTAGTATGTTTTTTTATTTTTTTTAGGTGGTTATTTAGGTTGGTGTGTCCTGTTTGGAGTTTAGTGATTACTCTGTCGATTTTTTTTGATGGATGGTGAATTTTTGGTTTGGTTAGTGGTTTGCTGAGTACTTTTTTGATTTGGCTATTTGAGTTTAGATATAGGTTATGCCATTTTTTGGTGATTTTTTGCTTATTTACACTTTTAATTTCTGATTTTGAGATGGGTAAGCTTATTTCTGGGATTTTGAGGGATAGTTTAGCTGCCTTATCGGCGTTTTCATTACCGTATATTCCTACGTGGGCGGGTATCCACAAGAAAGTTATTTGTTTGCCTGCGTTAGTTAGGTCGTTGGAGCTTTTAAGTATTAGATTTATTAATTTAGGTCGGTTTTTGGTATTTTTGTTTTGGAGGGCTTGCAGTCCACTTAGGGAGTCGGTAAGTATTAGGATTTTATTGTGGTTTTTGGATTCTTGACTATGGAGGGCTGAGGCCATGCCCATTAGTTCTGCCGTGAATATTGATTGGTTGTTTGGGAGTCGGAAGGATTGTGTAGTTTTAGTTGGTTGTGTGGTATGGACTCCGAAACCTGTGTGTTTGGAGGTCGGATCTGAAGATCCGTCCGTGTAAATGTGACACCAATTTGGCCAATTTTCGTGTATGTATGCTAGTGTGGTGGTTTTAGCTATGTTTGGGTCGGTTTGTTTATTTATTTGGCTAGCTAGTGTTGTGTCTATTTTGGGTATTTTAAGTTTAGGGGTGAAGATATTTGATTGTTTGCAGTTTTGTTTAAGATTTTTAATTTGGTGTTCATTTAGGTAGTTTGTTATTCTTTGGGATATTGGGGTAAGTAAGGGGTGTTTACGAGCTAGAGTTTGGTTTTTGGATGGTCATGCTGGGTCCTACTATTTAACGTCCGGGGGCGTCCGGAAACGTCCGGGAGGTTTCATCAGACGTCCGGAAACGTCCGGGAGGTTTCATCAGACGTCCTGGAATTTAAAAATACAGTGCAGTCAATAAAACATGACTTTCTCAGTTTGGTAAGATCGTGGGAATATCAACTGGCGTACAAATAAATATAAAAAAAAATAAAAACAAACAAAATTGAGTACAAGTAACAGGATAAAAAATATTTAATAGGCCGTAAAGGTTTTGTTCTTTATCCAACAAGGCGGACGTAAAAGTAAAAACAGACAATGTAAAAAATGTTTGTTTGTTTGTTGTTTAGCGTCACAGTCAGCAATATTCCAGCTATATGACGGCGGTCTGTAAATAATCGAGTCTGGACCAGACAATCCAGTGATTGACAGCATGAGCATCGCTCCGCGCAATTGGGATACGATGACATGCATCAAAGCCAAGTCAGCCAGCCTGACCACCCGATCCCGTTAGTCGACTCTTACGACAAGTATAGTCGCCTCTTACGGCAAGCATGGGTTGCAGAAGACCAATTCTAACCCGCGTACTTATTTACAATACATAAGATGTTTAATAAATAATAATCAATGTTCATCATATCTATCTATCCTACTTTCCTACAGTACATGAATTATTTTGTTTAAAATACTACTTTCTTAGAAAGTGAACGTCTTTGCTGTTTTAATCCTCTTTCGTTGTTCTGGTTTTCGGGCTGTCTGTGGTGTCTTGGGAATGTTGAGGCGACCATCCGACGAAACAGTAATGCTTTTTGGCCACGCAGGAAATTCCGAAAATGTCTGTCTTTCTCCTGTTGGCTTTTTGATGTCCAGCAGGCATTAGACAATTTAAAGCCTGCCATCCACGGTGTCAGTTGGTAGTTGCCTTGGCCGTAGAGGGCACGGCGCATGTCAGCATACTGGATTTTTACAATTGTGTGAAGTTTGTCAGTTAAATCCGGGATTTTCAATGATTTCCAATTGGTACTTAAATTGATGATGTTGTTCATGCTCTCACAGGCATTATTAGTCCATATGTAACGGAACTGCTTTTGGTCTTTCTTTTGAAGGCAGGAAAATGTCAGTTTTTATAGTTTTAATGACTTTAGAAAGGTAGGAATAGGAATCGGGAACAGTTGTTGAAACAATGTCTTCTAGTTCCATTTGATTTAGTTCGAACTGATAGGAGTCGTGGCTATTCACCAGTCCGGAGGGTCCAAAAATCTTCTGATGAATGAGTCGTATCTGCTGATCTGAAGCGCCAGCCTGATGTCGGAGGTGTCTTTTTATATTTTGCTCTATGTGCCGTTCACATAAAATGTGTGTGGAAGCGGGGAAACAGTTTCAAGCCCCTTTCTTCATCAGATCCAATTACCAGTTGTTTCCCTTGTGTCTGAGTCCCCCCAAGATTAGAATCTAGAAGTGCCTGGATATGTGAACAAAATCTGTGATATGTTAGGTCTGACCCATCCCAGTGAAGATAAAGGGGGCCTAGCATTATTGGATGGGTCTCTGTACCTTTTCTGTGTAAGTTCGGATGTTGAAACACTAATAAACTCACAAAAAATGCTCCTAAATTGAACGTCCTGTCAACTCCAACTTCACGGTTTTTCTGAGGCACTTGTAAAGAACTGTTTTAATTCCTTCATTTGATCCTGTGTGTATAAAATTACTGACGGCGGTTTTCCTTTACACTGAATAATCTCTTGAATGAACTCGGTGTGAATCGAGTTAATGATGCTGATAAGGTCATCTGCAGTGTTCTGCCGCTTGGTGCCCTTGTCTTTTCTCACTGACTGTTTTAAATTTTGTACTTGTTTCAGATCTCTGGCAGCTAATTGTTCTCCCTGCTGCAGGTGCTTATTGTACACATCTCGTGCAGGCTGTGTCTTCATCTCTTCTCTTATCTGCTCGATGACAGTGTCGGGCGTCCTCACAAACTCGGCGGTAGACTTTTTTTGAATTTCCGTGAATGGCACAGGACTGTAAAATTGAAATAAAACGATTTGAGTGAACCTGTAGTATTAACTCTCAGCCGATGAGTATACAGCTTGGATTCTATAATTCCCAGGGAGTTCAGAATGACGACAATGAACGCATACAGATCGTTTGATCGGGGGGAAACAGAAGCGCCTTTGAGCAGTTATTGACTGGAAGACTGCTATTTAGAATATTTATATTTCATTCTTGATATTATGACAGAGATTTGCAACCTTTACACACAAGAAATAGGCCTACCTCGGGAAACTTGCCAGTGTATTCGACAATAGCTACTTGTGGATGAACAGGAGTGTGGCCGGTGGGGAACTGCTCAATCCAAGTCACCCGCTTATGATAGTCCGCACATCGTTTCATCGTGTTATAATAGCGTTTAACAATTAGGGCTTCGCTATTTGGCGGCTGAATTGCCATCGGTACTCTCATACTTTTTTTCATTACACAATACAGTCCTTCCTTTTGCTCTAAGTATGTAAATTTGCCATTGACAAAATGATAAAAATGTTTCTTTGTCGACCCCTTTCCCCACACACCACAATCATCTACAAATTTACTTCGACGGGACATCCATCTGCGGGATATATTCTGAGAGTTGTCATAGATATATGTTTCGTTTTCTTTTATTCCTACAGGAATCTCTGACTGAATGTCTTTCGCATTGATTGTCTGAAACAACTCCGGTCCATGAACCTTCCACTGTTGAATAGGGAACCACGGACACTTGGTGATGAATCCTGTAGGGACAGCAGCAACATAAGACATTAATACAATATATATCCCCATGACATGGGGTTTTGGACGCTGAAGAAACATTCATAAATTTCTCGCTTATCACATGAACAACTGTAAAACATCTCATTCACTTACAGGCTAAAAGACAACTTTATCTTAAAAACAAGCCATCAGCTGACTCTGAGTATTTACAATTTCTGTGTGACGCCATGCCCCACGTTATAGTGCAAGTATTCGTGACAGAAAACGTATGATGTCCGAAAACCTATGCTATGAAAGCTCCGATCGAAAACAGGACAATCCGCGCCAATTGTCCGGTTATCGATCATATTTTTCGGAGTGTTTTTTTTTAAATTTTTAATAATTTTTTCCGCGGAAGATGATTTTTTCCGAGAACTACTGTTTTAAAAAACACGATTTTCCGCGTTTCCGCGGAGATTTCACATCCCTGTCAGCTCATCATTACTTGGAGTGAGAGATGAATCCTCCATGGTGGACACAGGAGGTGCTATTATCTCGACTGATGTATCGTTGGCTGTATGCTGAAACAATCACATCATATACATGAGAGAGATATCCCTGACATAAGCCACACGTACGTATGACCAGACAATCCAGTGATTGATATCATGAGCATCGATCAATGCAATTGGGATCGATGACATACTTAAACCAAGTCAGCGAAATTGGCCACCCGATCCCGTTAGTCGCATCTTACGACAAGCATAGTCGCCTTTTACGGCAAGCATGGGTTGCTGAAGGCCTATTCTAACCCGGATCTTCACGGGTGCGAATTAAATTTAAATAGAAAAGTTATATTATAAATAAAGTCGTCACAAGTGTTAATATGAACGTGAAATATGAACCTCGTCTAAGACATTATCGTAGACTCGTATTGAAAAGCAAAAAGAGACGAATTCTCTCTATATATAGAGAGAGAACTCGTCACTTTTTTATAAAATATCGAAACTGGATGAAAGAGATGCTTACGTCGAGTGACGTCAGATCAAGGTCCATCGTTTCATCTGCAGGAGCGGCAGCACGGGAACAGTTCACGTCCTGTAAAGTGAATAATCTTGTCATTCGATGGTTTGTCTATACACGGCTATGAGGCAACTTAATTCATATTAAGACAATAGCTGGCGTACTCTTCATTATCTAATCAACATTTTGACATAATAATTTGTAAGATCATGGTACCTTTATTTGGCTGATATCCATGTCAATCGGGGTTTCGCTGAATACCGGAGAAGACGTTTCTGGTTTCATCTGCTAACAAACAGTATATTGATAAAACTTACAAGACGTATCCGATATGTAGGAATTAGTATATAGCATAAATATATGGTTTCACTGGACATACAGCTAATACAGGTCTATGAGTGACATACGTTTTTCTCAGGTGTTGAGGCGGTTTGTGTCTTGTCGTCATGACGACGCTTCTTCTTTTGGAAATGTTCTTTACGCTTCATCTGCAAAGAGATAATGACCATTCAATATTTTGGTCGAAAAATAACTAACCATATCTCACCTCTGATCTCAAATGTTACAGTTTAAATTAACATCAGAATCAGCACTTACAGTCTTAGGAGGCCTCACTGATGGTGTAGGCGAGATGGTGATGACAGTATCCCTGGTCTCTGTCGCATCGAGTTTTCTTTCACCACTGCTACCGTCGCCTTGATCTAAGAGGCAGTTACTGATCTGGGACATAATTGAAATATAAAACTATCAGGAAAAGATAAGGAATATAACAGAATGACATATAATATGATCTCATTGGAATGTTACAGTTATGCACATGTCATCTCTTCAAGGGCAATGTGTAAAGTATTCATCGCCTGTTGAAGTTTTTTAAAAATGACTATCTATTTATTTATTGGTCTTGTTGGAATAATAGCTCTTAAGTGTTAATGTTATATTGTTACCTGTTATAACCGACGTTATACAACATTTATTGCATTTAAGAACGCATCTATAAATAATTTTGTTGAATTGCTCACTAAGTAGGACAAAGTGGTTAGGTAACCAAATCCTGTCGAGTTCCGATGCAGGGGGTGTTGTGGTACAACTCCAAAGTATTTTAATGGGCTTGGCGAGGATGTCCTGCGAGATTCAGCAAAACACGCCCTTACGACAACCACGGTTGCACACCCGGCAAGGGTTGCTGATTGTCCGGGTGGATTTCTCTTCCACAACGAAACAATCCCATTGTCGAGGTTTTCGGTTTCTACGAAATCCCTCAGATTGTAATGCTACAGTAAGTTCGTTCATTCGGAGATTTAACGTGCGCTTTCCGCGTGTAATAAATTACACTTTAGCGTATCTCGCACACGGGGAAGCACTTATACTATTGGGGGGAAAAAGCGTAATGAATAAATAAAGAAGTGCGACCCAAAAAAATGTAAATTAGGTAAACCTAACATGATAATCTAGGGGGGTGGGTTTGGGCTGGGAGGGAGGGGGTGATAAGAGAATAATAATAATATGGAAAAGTTGGGCTTGGGTGGGGGTGGGGAGGGGGGGGTGGGTAAGGGGGTCAGGCCCGGGAAGGCATGGCATCGGCTGGCGAGCAAGGGTGGTGGTGGAAGCTGGAGCTTACTGTTTCTCCCCAGCCAGGAGCCTCCTGGCTAGGTCAAGCTCCCCTGGAGAGAGAGCTTGGAACAGAGCGGTGGTGAGGCGGGCGGCGGCGTTGGTGATGAAGAGGGGGCTGACTTGAAGATCGCAGTCGACCAGGAAATCCGAGATATCCTGGTAGCTGTGGATTTCATGTTCAAATCTCTCTTCTCCCCAGTACTGCACCAGCACCATGGGTGGGCGTGGGCGGTTGCTGGGGTATACCTTGCCGCTCTCATGCTGGTAGCAGGGGTTAGGGTGGACCTTGTGCTGCTCCAGGATGAGGCTGGCCTTCTGGGCAAGGTCGACACGGACGTCTTCCTCAACAACTGGTTCCGGAACCGGGTCGGTTTGGACTTGGCTGGTGTTGAGGGAGGGGCCTCCCCTCTGGATTCGAGGGGAGCGAGTTCCAATGCTGCTGTTGGGGGCGGAGGGGTGGTGGGTAGGCTCTCCTGGATCTCCATGGCGGCGACTGGTGGAGCCTTCTTCACTTTGGGCGGCCTGGACTTCTGTACCGGGCGTGGTGCAGCAGGGATAGGGGCCGGGGTGGTTTTCTCCTTAGGCTTGGTCTTGGTCGGAGCTTTGACCAGAGGCCTTTTCCTTTGACCTAAGTCAAAGGAGATGGAGAGGGTGGAGGAGTTGGACTTGTAGGAAGTCCTGAGGGAGTAGTCCCCAACCCTGAAAGCCAGCAAGGGCTCCAGGATGGCAACTAGCTCCCTCGGTAGCGACAGAGTTGAGCGTGGGTAGCGAGCTTGGAAGGACACGTCTGCACGGGGCGAGTGTCCAAGCCGACAGTAAGTTTAGAATAGAACTAATTATGTTGTACGTGTTTCTGACTGAGTTGAGATGTGAGAATCGACCCTCTTAATGTTATAATAACAGTTCCTAGAGAAACGTAGAGATGACATGAGATGTGAGAATTGACCCGCTTAATGTTATTACAACAATTCCTAGAGAAACATGGAGATGACCCAAGTTACAAATACTTCGTCAGTTCGAAAAAATTCTGTGAGGAGCTAAACCACCACACCGACGCTAGGAAGGTGTGGCGCAAAATTCACGCCATCCGAGGCATCAAACGGCACAAAAAAGCCCCAATATAAACAACTCAACTAACCCCACCCAAAAGGCCAACAACCTAGCCAAACACTTCTCTAAAGTTAGTAGCAACAGTAACTTCAGTAAGAAATGCCAAGATAAACTAAATAAAGAAACCAAATTCTCCAAAGAAAACAGACAAGACAACCTAGAAATAAATCAACCTTACACAGTAGAAGAACTAAATCACGTACTAAACAATAGAAAAAAATGGAACAGCCCCTGGCCTAGACCTCACCTCTTACCAAATAATCAAACACTTACCTACCAAACTACTCCAAACTTTACTTAAACTATACAACCTAGTCTACCTAAACGGACAGGACCCATCCTCATGGAAGGAAGCTCTAGTAATCCCAATACCTAAACCAAATAAACCAGCAGATCAGGCAAACTCCTATAGGCCCATCTCCCTAACCTCAAATCTCTGCAAAATAATGGAACTTATGACTAAAAATAGGCTACAGCACTACCTAGACCAAAACAACATCATAAACCCCGACCAAAGCGGCTTCAGTCCTGGCCGATCAACTCTCGATAACCTTGCCCGACTAGAACAGGATATAAAAACAGGACAGCTAAACAAGCAATACACCATAGGCATATTCCTCGACTTCTCTAAAGCTTTCGATATGGTATGGCACCACGGGCTAATACAAAAACTAAAAAAAATAGGACTGAAAGGCCAAATAATAAACTTCATCCAAGATTTCCTAAACAATCGCAAAATTACCGTGGGTATAGACCATACGCTATCGGACCAGTGTCCCCTAGAAAATGGCACTCCCAAGGGCAGCATCCTCAGCCCAACCCTCTTCAATATAATGATAAATGATCTATTCGAGGGCTTATCCCCTAAACTAAACACTTCAAAATTCGCGGATGACGGTGCCCTATGGATCCGCACTAAAAGCATTAAAATGGCAGAAAACTTAATCCAAAAATCTCTAAATAAAATACAACAATGGGCAGACAAATGGGGCTTCTCCCTTAACTCAGATAAAACAACAGGAGTAGCATTCAAACATAAAAACAAGAAACCTGCCTACCCAATCCTCCAGCTAAACAACCAAACAATCAAATTCCAAAAACAAACCAAATTCTTAGGACTTATTTTCGATCAACACCTCACCTGGGAGGCTCACGTCCAAAACCTAAAAACTAGATGCAGCAAAGACCTTAACACATTAAGATGTCTCACCGGCTCTAACTGGGGAGCCTCCAAAGATACCCTCCTCTCACTATATACAACACTAATTAGATCAAAACTAGACTACGGCTGCGCCATATACAATACCCTAAACAACTCTCTATCTAAAAAAACTTGACTCAATACAATACCAAGCCCTTAAACTAATTACACGCACCCAACATGGCACCTCCTACACCTCTCTTCAGGCCCTTACAGGAGAAATGCCACTAAATCTACGCAGGGAACATCTAAGCCTTAATTTCTGGGCCGCGTCCCAAACAAACCCTCTCATCCAAAACCTATTTAACCAAAACATTAGCCCAAGAAACCAAGCTCTAGCTCGCAAACACCCCTTACTCACCCCAATATCCCAAAGAATAACTAACTACCTCAATGAACACCAAACTCAAAATCTTAAACAAAACTGCAAAAAAATCAAATATCTTCACCCCTAAACTCAAAATACCCAAAATAGACACAACGCTAGCTAACCAAATAAATAAACAAACCGACCCAAACATAGCTAAAACCACCACACTTGCATACATTCACGAAAATTGGCCAAATTGGTGTCACATATACACTGACGGATCTTCAGACCCGATCTCCAACCACACAGGCTTCGGAGTCCATACCACACAACCAGTTATATCCACACAATCTTACCGACTCCCTAACAACCAATCTATATTCACGGCCGAACTTATAAGCATGGCCTCAGCCCTGCATAACCAACAATCTAAAAACAACAAAAAAATCCTAATTCTCACCGACTCCCTTAGTGGACTACAAGCCCTCCAAAACAAAAATACCAAAAACGACCTAAATTAATAACCAAATACTTAAAAGCTCCAACGACCTAACAAAAGCAGGCAAACAAATAACCTTCTTGTGGATCCCCGCCCACGTAGGAATTTACGGCAACGAAAGCGCCGATAAAGCAGCTAAATTATCTCTCAAAATACCAGAAATAAGCCTAAACCTACCCATCTCAAAATCAGAAATTAAAAGTGTAAACAAACAAAAAATAACCAAAAAATGGCATAATCAATATCAAAACTCAAATAGCCAAATCAAAAAAGTGCTCAGAAAACCACTAGCCAAACCTAAAATCCTACACCCCTCTAAAAAAATTGACAGATTAATTACAAAACTCCAAACAGGACACACGAACCTAAATAACCACCTAAAACAACTTAAATGACACACCACAGGCAACTGCCCCCACTGCAAACAACCCGAAACCACAGAACACGCACTCATCCACTGCACCCACTACCAAACACACAGAACCACACTACAAACCAACCTCAATCTAAATAAGGTTCCTACTCTAGATGAAATACTAAACCCTCAAAATAAACTAGAAAACTTCAAGGCCCTAGGCGTATTCCTAATCAAAACAGACCTAATTAAGCGCATCTAAAATCTAATTAATCTACCAATCCAAAATCCAATAAACATACAAACACCCACCTCACCCGGCTCCATTAGTTCCCTCCTCCACCCACCTCGGCATTTATTCCAAATTTAAAAATTTCAAAAAATCAATATAAGCAGCCCCTAAAAACCCCCTCTTGGGTTGCACACACCACTTTCACCCTTCTCGGAATACACTAAATGGTCCGGTCAGGCCCGTGTGCGAAATACGCTGCAGTCGGAAAGCGCACGTTAAATCTTCTATATCAGTCAGAATAACTTCAAATCGTATTTGCTTTGCAGATTCACCATTTAAAAAGAATAGGGGTGTATGTAATGTTTTTCCAGCTGTATGTTATTTAGTATAATTAATACAAGAACACAATTATAGAGAATACACTCTATTATTTAGTATCATTCTCCCGGTCGCTCCCATCAGATGCTCTCCGACGTTGCCCGGACACTATAGTACCGGACGTTTTACACTCAGTGAACATCTGGGGCCACGCATGAACCATTGAAAACGTCTGTCTTTCGGTATTAGTTATGGAATAGTATACAGAATATGACACCATAAAAGAACATTATATTTTTGTTCCATAAGCAAATTTAGATTGTATCCTTCAAAGCCCACGTTACGAATACCTCGTCAGTTCGAATAACATCAAATCGTATTTGCTTTGCAGATTCACCATTTAAAAAGAATAGGGGTGTCTGTAATGTTTTTTCCAGCTGTATGTTATTTAGTATAATTAATACAAGAACACAATTATAGAGAATACACTTTATTTTTTAGTATCATTCTCCCGGACGCTCCCTGGCATTGCCCGGACGCTCCCGGACGCCCACGGGCGTTATTTAGTATGACCGTGAAAATCGTCAGGCCTTGTCGTTATTCTGCCTCGAGTCTGCCATTGTATTGGTAATAACAAATGAAACCCGCCCACAAATCTATTCGTCCAGCTGTGGCGATCGCCGATTCACAATACATCACAATACACCTATATTACCCATTGAAACATAAAACCGGTTTACCCAGTGGACACATTTTTGGGCTTTCACTGCGCCGAATGACGACCTTTGACCCGACATATTGCGTCAGCTTGATTGCATCACCCAGTGTGTGTGTGCATATATATGTAGGATACGGGAAATAATCCAGTTTTCACGTGTCACAGCTTGTGAGAGAACCCGTCCTAGTGTCCACGCGCTCTATAGATTTTAGAAGCGGACTATTTTGTCTCATTCAGATCATTAGCCCTACTCGAAGATATAAGGTAAGAAAACACGTTTCCATACATTTCTGTTCTGTCACACTGTAACAAAAACATTTCAAACGTTGTTAAATCATTCAGCATAGAAATAGCTGAACACGCATTTTAATGGCGTTGTAACGGTATTAAAGAACTGTACGAAGCTCGAACTATGAGCAAAATAGATCTGTAATTTCCTCGTGTGGACGCGAGTCCTTATCCTTGCCGGCTCCAGACACCGGCACACGCATGGTCTTGATCAGACCGAATGTGTACTATACTATACTATACTTTATACTATACGTGTAAATCTGTACCGGTGTTTGGGGTGTCATGACAACCTTAAATTGGGCCGCTCACATACCGGCTGCAATGTGCATGCACCGGTAGCGTGGTAGATCGTTCAGCTGTTCAGAACTATGGCTGCCGCCATGTTGTATGAGGAACAGACGAAGAAACCTCGATATAACGCACCTCCAAACAGCGCGGTCGCGTACACTCATCGCTTTGAAAATAGCCTGTGTCAAGCGTTTTCACGTTGGTGTCTTTAAATTACTGATACACTTCTAGAAAATATATCTTTCCTGCAGTTTATCAAAAAATCGAATAAACATTATTAATATTGAGTCTTTTTTAAGTCCTGAATTGTTTAATATTGCATGAGATATTCACATATTTATTTCAACAGAACACAAACAAATAAGGCAAACAAACCTACGTGTATACAGAAATGATAATGCTGAGTTATTACTTACAAATAACCCATAGAGTGAGTGAGTGAGTGAGTGAGTTGGGTTTAACGCCGCTTTTAACAGTATCGATCTCCAATTATATCACGGCGTGTCAGCTTAATGTGGGAGGAAAGTCCGAAGTGATGCAGGTCTCAGACCTTTACCACTTCGGTGAAACCCACGAGCATGGGAATGATGCTGACAAACTTAGAAACATAATCGGGGCGAACCGGGATTCGAACCCACAATCATAGGTTTCTGGCATGCCCAAGGGACGCAACTCTGCTCAACGAATCGCGGCGCCTTAGACGACTGGGCCACCCGTGCCCCCTCATTGTGAAGAGACACCGGCCCAAGCGAATGGCATCAATATATCTCCAATGTCAAAAGACCGCCTCCGTGGTCTAGGGGTAGAGCGTCCGCCCGGAGAGCGAAAGGTCGTGGGTTCGATCCCCGACCGCGTCATACCAAAAGACGTTAAAATATGGTACTTGTTGTTACCCTGTCTGGCGCTCGGCATTAAGGGGCTAAAACAAGGACTGGTCGGCTCGGAGTCAGTATACTGTGTCTGAGTGGGGTACTCATGTTAAACTGTGGCATGGTATCTCAGTGTGTTAGCACTATAAATCGGCATCAGTCCGGACTAGTACAAGCAGGCACACACACACATACACGTACATGCACGTCGCTATATAAGTGTAATAATCTTGGACGCGACGTTAAACCCCATTTCACCTCACCTCCAATGTCAAAATTGTTCTACAGCTGATGTTGGAGTCCTGCTCACGTTTCACCGTTCATGCATGTATATTAACAGGTCGCAAGTACATTTGTGATTATTTGAATACCAATGGCTAAATTAATGCACGCAGCTGTTTGCGAGACGACATTTGTTTTTTTATTGTTGAAACAAGTCACACATAGAGTTGTGGTAATGTTTATTAATGCGTGGCACACAAAACTTGGGGTGGGGGTGACAAAGCCTGAAGTGATGTACGTCACAGACGTTTACCACTTTGGTGAATCTCGCGAGCAGGCGTTTGTTGCTGACGAACATTGAAACATAATCGGGGCGAACAGGAATTCGAACCCGCAATCATAGGTTTCTGGCGTGCCCAAGGGACGCAACTCTGCACAGCGAAATGCGGCGCCTTAGACGAGAGTGCCACCCGTGTCCCCATCCGGCTTGGAAGGCTTGCTTATGATATCGAAAGACTCGATTAATTAAAGGGAGTATTAATTGCTGAATGCTGCGTTGAACAGACAAATAAACAAATCAAGTGAAGAGAAGTATAAATATTCATATTCCTGTGGACTCGAATTTGATCATATCCCAGCAACAGATAACTTTAGATGAGGAGTAAGAATGAAGAGGGGAACTATCAAATCAAACCAACCAGTCTAACGGGGCAGAATAGGGCAAAGATCCAGGTTTGAGTCTCAACATGTTTCAGAGTTCGACACAATACAAATGACAACTGTTGGAGAGGTCACTATATATAAGTTCGAGTTTTGGAGTGGGATTTTCAGTCTTGGTCCACCAAAGGCGTTGGGTCCGAGAGTTCTTGTTTGCGCACATTGACCTCACCTAGAGGACCCGAGGGTTCTTGTTTAAGCACATTGACCCCACCTAGAGGACCCGAGGGATTTTGTTTAAGCATATTGACCATCACCTAATCGATGTGTTTTGTTGTTCCAAAATTAATTTTTATAAGTGCTCAGTTTCACCTGTTTTCTTATTATAATTACAATTCAGTCTAGATCTTTTCAGATTTATCTGCTGAGCGTGCAGATTCCACATTGTTTTCTATCAGGCGAAGGCAATATGGATCACGTGGCAGGTCAACTGTGATCATGTGACGAGTCAATCACGTGATTTGATCGACACCTTGTAATTTGTTTCTTCATCACGTGAAATAGTTAATCCAATGAAATTCAAAGATTCTTAATAGAGATATAACAATTATATTTTTACATTGTCGCGAATAGCTGCACGATTGAAGATGCAGCGTTAAGCAAAATTTCCTTACTCACCAACTGTCTACACGATTGTGGAGCAGGCTGAGCATGCCGCAATTCAGACATAAGCCTTTTCGAGTATCAATTTGCAATAATCCAATAATGTTTAAGGTGTCACGTTTCCTGTAGCGCTCGTCACCGACAGGAACAAGCGTGAATGCAAGGATTAACCTTGAATGTTTTACCTATGAGGGTAAATCCCCCTGGTATAAAAACAATGAGATTTATTGCCGTGTGATGAGATTTTGCAAATTTTCAGAGACATTTTGTCTTCCCACAGTGGAAACTGTATTTGATATTCGGTATTTATGACTCGACATATGTTGCAATTAATGTTACTAAATGATACATCCTCCGATATGTTCGAACATTAATTATTGCAATGTGAATATTTAAATATATTTGCATTGGTATCAACAAAAAATATGCATTAGTATTTATATTTCTGTTCATTGTCTACTGTAGGAGAAAATACATTAATATTTATGTATTTCAGTTCATTGTCTACCTCCCTACTATTCTTACCGTGCACCTCATATAGCCATATTCGTTTTACATCCTTTTAGAGTTATCCCCCTTACACTGCCAAGCTCCCCACATCGACATCCCGTTCGCCACCAGTCAAAACTCTCCACTGTGATACCTGACCACAACCATGCTTTGAGTTGATCGTAAAGGGGCGCTTGATCGTAAAGGGGATCCAAGGGCTAAGGGTAGAGTTCGGGGTAATCTAATAGCCACGAAATGGGTCCCTTTCGTCTTTCCTTTTATCTAATAGTTCTTAAAATGTTTGAAACTTTGGGGGCCGAACATTTAATATTATGGGAATGTGCTGGGAATTATGTTTTCAAAACGCTATTTGGGGTAAAACCACAGGAACTCGTTATTGGTCAGTAAATAAAATACCCCGTATATGTAAGTACATATAGGGTATATATATTTTTATTTACTGACCAATAGTTCCTGTTGGTAAAATCTGAGCCAAGTTATTTTATTCAATATTACGATTTATTAGCAGATCATTTTGTTCACAATGCTTTCTTTCAGCGTTTTCTGCATTAAACAATCTTTTTTTTTAACGATACCTTTTTCTCAGGACATCAGTCATGATCAGAGAACATATTAAAGGCAAAATTATTTCTAAAGTATTATGTGGAACTATTACAACTGTGTTTTGTTAAATCAACATTCCCATTTTCTATCCAGCCAGCACCATGTGTGGGATTTGGGCCGTGTTTGGTAGTGACGAAGATGTCTCCGTGCAGTGTAATGCCGTCCACAAGATCACTCATAGAGGACCAGACGCCTTTAGGATAGAAAACATCAACCATTTTCAGAACTGTTGTCTCGGCTTCCACCGATTGGCTATCGTTGATGACGTCAGAGGGATGCAGCCAATGAGACTGTACACCCATCCTCACATATGGCTGATATACAACGGGGAGATCTACAACTATAAATCAGTAGGTCATCCTGTCATTTTACCTTAAATGAAATCTTTTTCTCATCCATCAGAAAAAAACTCTTGCGAAGTACGTCAATCGGAAGGTGTGTAAACGTCATAAAAAAACAAACCGCACGAAAACCATCACATTTATGGTTGTAATTAAGAATCAAACGTCATGGGGTCGGTGAACCAAGATCGGGCTAGCCTGGATACCTTGATATATTGCGCTAGCCCTACACAGCTTGGTAGCATACCCAGGGAACCAGGCTGAGTTTGGGCTTCATGCTTAATGTAGCTACACCTGCACCCCTAGTGGAGACTGCAGTCGCTACTGTTTACCAGAACTTGTTTACGTTGCACAAAGGATCGTTAATTATACTAAAGGTGATCGTAACTCCCCCACTTGAGATACGTTGAGATCGCTTTGTGAAACGGTCCCCACATATACTGCCAGTCTGAAATCCAGCCTGGTCATCTACCATGCTCACCACTACCAGAACAGTATAAGACCCGTGAAGATCCGGGGTAGAATGGGTCTTCAGCAACCCATGCTTATAACACCATCCTGTGTAACACCATCCTGTATAACACCACCCTGTATTATGACACCACCCTGTATAACACCACCCTGTATAACACCACCCTGTATAACTCCATCCTGTATTATAACACCATCCTGTATAACACCACCCTGTATAACACCACCCTGTATAACACCATCCTGTATTATAACACCACCCTGTATAACACCACCCTGTATAACACCACCCTGTATAACACCACCCTGTGTAACACCACCCTGTATAACACCACCCTGTATAACACCACCCTGTGTAACACCACCCTGTATCACACCACCCTGTATAACACAATCCTGTATAACACCACCCTGTATCACACCACCCTGTATCACACCACCCTGTATCACACCACCCTGTGTAACACCACCCTGTATCACACCACCCTGTGTAACACCACCCTGTATCACACCACCCTGTATAACACCACCCTGTATAACACAATCCTGTATCACACCACCCTGTATCACACCACCCTGTATCACACCACCCTGTGTAACACCACCCTGTATCACACCACCCTGTATAACACCACCCTGTATAACACAATCCTGTATAACACAATCCTGTATAACACCACCCTGTATCACACCACCCTGTATCACACCACCCTGTATCACACCACCCTGTGTAACACCACCCTGTATCACACCACCCTGTATCACACCACCCTGTATAACACAATCCTGTATAACACAATCCTGTATAACACCACCCTGTATCACACCACCCTGTATCACACCACCCTGTATAACACCACCCTGTATAACACAATCCTGTATCACACCACCCTGTATCACACCACCCTGTATCACACCACCCTGTATAACACCACCCTGTATAACACCACCCTGTGTAACACCATCCTGTATCACACCACCCTGTATCACACCACCCTGTATAACACAATCCTGTATAACACCACCCTGTGTAACACCATCCTGTATCACACCACCCTGTATAACACCACCCTGTATAACACCACCATTTATTAACCACATGGTGAAGATACGGGTGGTAAGATACTAAATCCGTATGTCACACGTGTGTCGTACAAGGTTGACCTTGTTTTATTCATTTTGATTGGATAACTGTGACCTCTGTCACACCAGGACTACTTTTTTCATTCATAAAAAACAAGTAAACTGACAATTTTGATCTATACATTTCCAGGTTGCAAAACAACATGACTTCCATCTGAGTACAGACTGCGATGGAGAGCCAATGATTCATCTGTATGACAAATATGGTATTGATTTCCCCTCCCACTTGGATGGTGTGTTTGCCTTCTGTCTTCTCGACACGGCTAACAGGAAGGTCTTAATTGGTCGGGACACGTTTGGAGTCCGCCCCAGCTTCAAGCTTATCACAGACAATGGCTTCCTAGCTGTGTGCTCTGAGGCTAAAGGTCAGTATAGTCGTCAGATATGTCAGGCACGTGCAGCAAGATTCGTTTAGTTCAGAATGTATTTTCTTACACCGAAAGGAAATGTTTGAATGGGCACTATCTTAAAGTCGGCGACAATGAGATTTCTTTGGGAAACAAAGTTCAACATGCCTTTTGCTTGGTAAGTAGTCTGTCTTACAGACCCTGATACAAATATATATCAAATACAGCCCATGCAAGTCTATAATGTTTGGCAAGTCTAGATCACTGCAGTATCTGAAAATGAGAGTCACTGGGCTCCTTTTTATTATATTTTTATTAAGATAACTGAACAACTGTTTTTTTATGTAAGATGTGTTCATTTCAGAGACTAGATGTTAGTCTACTTGGTAAGATGCATAAAATGGCCGATGCCCATGAGGCAGTTCTGTTCACTTCAGTCGATCAATGTCAGGCAGGCTGTTAAACAATCCTTCTTTCCTTCCAGGTCTTTTTGGTTTGAGTCACAGCCTAACTGATGAGGCTGCTAACATCGTCCCCGTCGCCCCCGGTACAGTGGAACAGTTCGACCTCGACAACAACGGACGAGCCACGTCCCGGAAGATGAAACAGTTCCACTCTATTGGCGACATGCCCCTGTACAAAACTCCTGTAGATACCGACTCACTAGGTAAGGTGACATAGGTGGATTCAGAGGGGGGACAAGGGTGCCTGGACCCCACCCCCTTTGGAAAATCAAATGTAGTATGTTGTATGCACTAAAATTATCTGAGAGGATATATTAATATTTTGGACCCCTCCCTTTTAAATAAACATATGGGACATAAACATAATTTGTCCCCCAAAATTGTTGCAAACAATAATTAAGCATCAGATTGTTGGAAAAAAAAGCAGTTGTCAGCCATAAAGATAACATTGTTGTAAGGTGTTTTCTGACAAAAATATTCAGACTCTTAGTTTTAAGTATAAAAAAATATCTGGTTTAGCAGCTGTCGCTGAAAAAGTATCTACAGTCCGTTTGACTCCAAATGATAACGATGAATTGCAAAATAACTCGAAATCCAGAAAAGTGTATGAAACCTCAATACGGTACTTGACCATGAATACCCTGTACCCAACAAAATCTGAATTTTGTTTATTTTAAGACCCATGACGGATGAAGTTCTTTAAAAAACTATCATGTAATTTTGTATAGAAATGTGTACATGACACGTAGGGGGACAAACCGTGGAAGGCACAGCGCAAGCACGGTCTGCACGTGCTACACAGTGACTGTGTTCATTCAATGACAAGATGCGCTACTCAGCAGATTTTAAACAGTTGATGTTGAATGTGTATGATTTCTTTAGAAGTGAAGCAGAAAGAGCAAAGCCTTTTTATGCAATTAATAAATTCTTGAAACGAGCTTCAAAAGCTCTTGGTATGTCCCCTCAGAAACTTAAAAATGTTGTTAGTCGACGAGATACAAATAGTCAGGCCAAAGATAGGGAACATTTCAAAACCACGCAAGGTTGATAAATTAGACAGTTTTCAGAGGGATCAAGTCAGACGTGCAATTGTTAAACTGCACTCAGAAAAGAAGTACCTGTGCCTAAGAATTTTGAAGAAACACCTTGAAACTGACCATGATTTACGTGATAGAAAGTACAAACTATGGCAGCTCCTGCATACATTTGGTTACAAAAACAAAAAGATAACTGGAGAAAATAGGGCTGTGTTGTGTCGTCTCCGAAATCATTACCTTCGTACCATCAAGCAGAAACGTGAAGAAGGATATGAGCCCGTCTTCTTAGATGAGACATGGGTAAATGTGTCACACACAGCCAGCAGTCAGTGGGTACCCAGTGGTGACTGTAAGGAGTCTGGTAGAAAGTTACCAATGGGAAAGGGTGAAAGACTCATAGTTCTCCATGCTTTTCTGCTAGTCAGGGTTTTCTCCCAGACTGTGACCTCGTCTTTAGAGCCAAGGCCAAAGACAACAGGGACTACCACACAGAAATGAACGGCAATGTATTTCTGGAGTGGGTGAAAGATAAATTAGTCCCTGCTTTGCCTACCAAGTCTCTCATTGTCATGGACAGTGCACTGTATCATAGTGTGCAGGATCCAGAAAGCAAGACTCCAACCTCTAATAACCATAAAGGAGACATGGTTACTTGGCTGCAACGGAGGAACATTACCTTTCCTTCTTGAGCAACGAAACCACAGCTCTATGAAATCATCAAAACTGTGAAACCTGACCCCGTGTATAAAGTTGACAGTTACATCAAGGGTCAGGGACACGCTGTCTTACGACTGCCACCTTATCACTGCGACCTGAATCCAATCGAGTTGGTATGGGGCATCGTCAAGGGTGACATTGGACGATCGAACACAACGTACAAATTACGAGACGTTGAACAACTCGTAAAGGAATCCCTTGGTCGGGTAACAGTAGAAACATGGAGGTGTTGTGTGGCCACAGTCGTTGACGAGATAGAGCCATGTTATTGGTCACAAGATGGACTACGGCCAGCAACAGTCCAACCTATAATAGTGGCAGTCGGTTCAGGCACCAGCAGTTCCGACGATGAGATCTATGGCATGAGCGAGTCAGATTGCGACTGAAATTATCATGAGATGGCCCCTCTAACGCTCTGTCATTTCCCCTACAATGGAACGTGCAGTGCATGCGTGCTTGCGCTGTGCCTTTCATGGTTTGTCCCCCTACATGTCATGTACACATTTCTATACAAAATTACAGGATAGTTTCTTAAAGAACTTCATCCGTCATGGGTCTTAAAATAAACAAAATTCAGATTTTGTTGGGTACAGGGTATTCATGGTCAAGTACCGTATTGATGTTTCATACACTTTCTGGATTTCGAGTTATTTTGCAATTCATCGTTCTCATTTGGAGTCAAACGGACTGTAATGTCCAGAAACAAATCCTAGCAGAGGTCTGAAGAGCAAAACAATTGAATGAATTAGACAGGATCGGACAAACAGGTTGACAAACCAGTGTTCAATTGTACTTTTTTCAATCACAGGAGATGATGTTAAGAAGAACATCAGGGTGTTATTTGAGACGGCCGTCCAGAAGCGTCTCATGGCAGACAGAAGAATAGGTTGCCTGTTGTCAGGTAAGTGAACTGATCAACGATGTCTCGCTCAGGTTGTCTGGAAAGTGAACTGATCCATGATGTCTAGCTGAGGTTGTTTGGAAAGTGAACTGATCCTCGATGACTCGCTGAGGTTGTCTGATAAGTGAACTGATCCTCGAAGTCTTGCTGAGGTTGTCTGATAAGTGAACTGATCCATGATGTCTAGCTGAGGTTGTTTGGAAACTGAACTGATCCTCGATGTCTCGCCTAGGTTGTCTGATAAGTGAACTGATCCATGATGACTCGCTGAGGTTGTCTGGAAAGTGAACTGATCCACGATGTCTCGCTGAGGTTATCCTCCTACGCTATGAGCAGACAGCCTGGTATCCAACATACTGTCCAAGATGACCTTTAACCCAGCTGACTCACTCACTTCATTGTGTGAGCGCGTGAAGATCCGGGGTAGAATAGGTCTTCAGCAACCCAAGCTTGCCGTGAAGATCCGGGGAAGAATAGGTCTTCAGCAACCCAAGCTTGCCGTAAGAGGTGACTATGCTTGTCGTAAGAGGCGACTAACAGGATTGGGTGGTCAGATTGGCTGACTTGGTTGATGCATGTCATCGTATCCCAATTTGCCTAGATCAATGCTCATGATGTCAATCACTGGATTGTCTGGTCCAGATTTGATTATTTTCAGACCGCCATCACATAGCTGGAATATTGCTGAGTGCGGCGTTAAACCACAACCAAACCAAACCACTTCATTGTGTACAAATCAGTATCAAATGGCTGTTGTCAATGTAAACATAAAACGGTGTCTTCTCCTAGGGGGTCTCGACTCGAGTCTGGTGGCCGCATTATTGGTGAAGAATGCCAAAGAACAGAAACTGCCCTACCCCATACAGACCTTCTCTATTGGCATGGAGGGGAGTACAGATATCATGGCGGCCAGGAAGGTGAGTCTTGGAGCATTACATTACCCGTACAGACCTTCTCTATTGGCATGGGGGGGGGGGGGGAGTACAGATATCATGGCGGCCAGGAAGGTGAGTCTTGGAGCATTACATTACCCATACAGACCTTCTCTATTGGCATGGCGGGGAGTACAGATCTCATAGCAGCCAGGAAGGTTAGTCTTGGAGCATTACATTATCCCATACAGACATTCTCTATTGGCATGGAGGGGAGTACAGATATCATGGCAGCCAGGAAGGTGAGTCTTAAAGCATTACATTACCCATACAGACCTTCTCTATTGGTATGGAGTGAGTGAGTGAGTGAGTTGGGTTTAACGCCGCTTTTAACAGTATATTGGCATGGAGGAAGGTGCACATAATTATCATGGCAGTCATGAATCTTCGTCATGGAGCATTAGGCACATGTCTTATCTACTGGCGTATACGGTTCACCTTCTTGTTTTCGAATTGTTTCTAAATAGCAAACATGTTATCACATTGGCTTAAACTTTATATTTGTCTTTTTATTTGCAGGTTGCAAAACATTTGGACACAGAGCATCACGAGATTATATTCACACCTGAGGAGGCTATTGATGTTTTAGAGGACCTAATTCGCCATCTCGAAACATACGACATTACGACCATCAGGGCCTCAATTGGTATGTGTGACCACTGACTGTAGTAAAGTAAATTAAAATATTTACACTTGGAGACATGGGCAAGTAGTTTTTTAAACTTGTCTTATTTTATATGTGACATACTTCTCAGAATGAGATCACATTGACCTTCGCTCATGACTGGCGCCTCATTTTTGATAACTTTTGATAACACCTACTTCGGTAGTCATTTAGAAACATACTGCTCACATTGACACTTGACCTCATTGTTATTGTGATTGTCAAAGTGCAGTTTCAACCCTTGCCGAACTAGGCTAGGATTTCCTGGCTCGATAGTAGCGCCACCAGTGGCTATTACGAGTTCTGTCCCTCCTGTTGACCAATCAGATCGTCTTGACTGGGCCCCACCATTTTGTTTCAAGAAAATGCAAGTCATTTGAGAGGTGGAATCTGATTGGTCAGTAGGAGGGACCAGTGGCTATTACGAGTTCTGGTGCCTCTACGATCAAAGCCATGAAAATTCCAACCTTCTTCAGCAAGGGTGGAAACTGGACTTTTATAGTCAGTTAATGCTCTTGCCTCGAGAAGATGAATAATGATAACATATAGCAAAATTCTCAAAAATGGCAAATTTCTACTTGTCCTTTTGATACCTTAACTATTGGGCAGGTTGGCAAGGACTACTGGACTAGTGCCAATTTCTGACGCTGAATAATTTGTTCCAGAAAATATTTGAAAGAATCATTCTTCCTCAGATTTTACGGGGCGGTGGGGTAGCCTAGTGGTTTAAGCGTTCACTCGTCACGCCGAAGGCCCAGGTTGGATTGCCCACATGGGTGCAATGAATGAAGCCCATTTCTGGTATCCCCTCCGTGATATTGCTTGAATATTGCAAAAAGCAGTGTAAAACCATACTCACTCACTCACTCACTCGTAATGTAGCTCAGTCACATGCTCCAATCGTCACTCACTCCTTTGGTTTTACAACAAAAATGGTGGTCTGGATATGAGGGATGTACTGAAAAAATGTGACTTGGAGAAGACTTGTTTGTTCGGCTCTTCCTTTCAGGGAGTAAAATTGCATTTTTTGAACATGTTGAAATAATATTTTGTACCTTAACAATCCTAACAGATCACCACCCCAGAGTATTGAAATGTCTGTAATTTGTGATTGGACCCGTGAAGATTCCGGGGTAGAATAGGTCTTCAGCAACCCATGCTTGCCGTAAAACTAAGGCGACTATGCTTGTCGTAAAAGGCGACGAACGGGATCGGGTGGTCAGACTCGCTGACTTGGTTGATGCATGTCATCGATCCCAATTGCGTGGATTGATGCTCATGATATCAATCACTGGATTGTCTGGTCCAGACTCGATTATTTACAGACCGCCGTCATATAGCTGGAATATTGCTGAGTGCGGCGTTAAACAACAAACCAACCAACCAACTTTGTGATTGTGTCAAGTTACAACATGGCTGTTGAATAATGTGTCACACAAGGGGACAATAATAATTTTTTATTGATGATGACATCCCATAATTCCTGAAATGATGTAATCTGTCTTGCTTCTTCCAGGTATGTTCCTAGTCAGCAAGTACATCAACGAGAAGACGGACACCGTGGTCATCCTGTCCGGGGAGGGCTCCGACGAGCTGGCCCAAGGGTACATCTACTTCCACAAAGCTCCATCAGCTGAGGCTGGGGACGAGGAGAGTCGGAGACTGCTGAAGGACCTCTACATGTACGACGTGTTGAGAGGGGACAGGACGACAGCCGCCTGGGGGTGAGTGCAGATTTTGATGGAATTAGCGGCTAACGGGATCAGGTCGTCAGGTTCGCAGAGTTTGTTGATACATCATTGTATCCCAGTTGCTGTACATGATGTCAGTCAGTAGATTGTCTGGCCCATGCTTGATTATTTACCGACAACTGTCATATAGCTGGAATATTTTTGGGTGCAGCGTTGAACAACTAAAAGACTGTACGAACACCCGTTCATCCATGTTGTTCAAAAAGAGAAATGTGTTGCAGAACGTGGACTCATTATGTAAATTCCACTAACAGGATTGGGTGGTCAGACTCGTTGATGCATGTCATCGTATGTCAATCACTGGATTGTCTGGTCCAGACTTGATTTTTCACAGGAGGCCGTCATATAGCTGGAATATTGCTGAGTGTAGCGTTAAACAACAAACAAACAAACAAAGAAACAAACTTGTGGCTTCCATGGCTCATCATACTGTCACCCCCTATTGGTCATATAGGTGACCTCTCTATCGTTGAGAGTAACAGCCGTCATCAGTTACTCAAATATAGACCAGTATGTAACTATGTATGCAAGGAGTCTCCTACCAACTGGGATCACATCTTGATCGTAATGTTAGAAAATGAGACAAAAGAGAAGATGGTGTGTTGATATTGAGAAGATTATTGTAAATGGGAATTGGTGTTGAGATTGTACATGATCTATATATTACATGCGCAATTGGCCAGAAATTATCTAATTGGGGGGCTGGGAGTTTTCAGAGACAGAATATGCTTTTTGCCATTGCTTCAAGATGTGTTTCAAACACCTTTTCCAGAATCTTCAGACAACAAATTTTGTTGTAAAAGTATTTTTCGGATTTGTTTTCCCTAAAAATGAGATGGTGGGATAAAGTGAGTGAGTGAGGATGGTTTTATGCAGCATTTTGCAATAGCGATATCACGGCAGGGGACACCAGAAATGGGCTTCACACATTGTACCCATGTCTGGAATCAAAACGGGGTCTTCAGCCCAAAGAGCAAAAGCTTTAACCACTAGGCTACCCGACCGCCCAGGTGTGATATAGAAACTACCTTAAGATGTGTGTGTACCATTTGTAATAACCTTTGTGCCTTGTCCTGCAGACTGGAGATCCGGGTCCCCTTCCTTGACCATCAGTTCACCAGCTACTACCTGTCCCTCCCCAACGAGGACCGCGTCCCTCAGAAGGGGATTGAGAAGTACCTCCTCCGGTCAGCCTTTGATGGGATGAACCTCCTGCCCAAGGACATCTTGTGGAGGCCCAAGGAAGCCTTCAGTGATGGAGTGTCATCTGTCAAGAGATCCCTTTTTGAGGTCATCCAAGATTTCTGTGATGAACAGGTGAGTTTGTAGAGTGAGAAGGGATTAATTTCGGCTCATCTTCCCAAGCAAGGGGGTTAACTGACAAGAAAAGTCCAGTTTTCACCATTGCCAAACTAGGCTTGAATTTCTGAGTTATATTATGGCTGGACTAACGAGTCTACGCATAGTCCAATCAAAATTGTGTAACGGAATCGACCTCTGGTTGTAAACAACATGGCAAATGCCATGTTGATTTCGGTCGATTGCAGGATTTGAAAGCATGTGTACCCTAAACTGGATGTCGACAGATATTTTCCAGATCTTTTCATGCTTTATCGTCTTGCTCAAGTGATTTATTGCACTTTGAGATGTAAGACTTGTTTTGCTGCAATATAAATCTTCATTATCAGTCAGATCATCTTGCCTGAGCGCGGCCATTTTAGTTAAAGCAAATGCAAGTGATATGAGAGGTGGAATGTGAATGGTCAGTAGGAGGGACAAAGAAAGGGCTATAACTCACAATAGCCACTGGTGGTTCCACAACTGAGCCACAAAATTCCAGCCCAGTTGATCAGTGGGGAAGATGGTTGGGCTTACCGTATTCGACATAATAAGCGCCCAGGGGCGCTCTCAAAATTAGAAATAGGGGGCTCTTATTAGAATATTATTTTGGTGAAAAAAACATAGATGAAAGATAAATTTCGTGGTTTATGCTGACAGCCTGAAGTGTTTATATGCGACAGAAATATTTTTCCAGAATTTAATTGCCCATAATTAAGGGTGTATATAACACACGAGTGCGTATTATACGCGAACAAATAAGTCCTTTGTACATTGATCAATCGGAAGGGATGCAAATTGGGCTTGTTCACTAGCCAATATATCAGCAAATATCGCTGTGGGCGCTTATTAGAGCGACGCGCTTATTATGTCGTATACGGTAATTCAAATTTCAGTTGTATCCCAGCATTTCAGTTTAATATTGGAGGAATGCCTAAAGTGACCTTCACAACTAAAGTGAAACTCTGGAGCTGAGGTATTGTACTGACATACCTACAATCGGGGCAACTCTTGGATTCCAACTTCATCTATTTAGAATTTGTACTCCACGGCTGTCAATATTTCAATGATCAGGACTGTTGACAGATATAGTGCTAGATTGAAAGTTATAACCCATATGGGCTGTGTATGCAGTGTAATATCTTTTGATATTTGCACAGTGTGCAATTAGTGATTCACGCAGCTGATTGGTCAGTTAAACAAACATCAATTTTAATTGGAAGACGTGACTATTTTCTCTCGTTGAGTTCATTCACAAATCCAGGGCATTCAGTCACATGTTTTACATGCTACAATCTCTCATATTCTAGATTTATAAGACACCTGTCACCTATTTCCTTCACCCCACATGATCTCCTACTGATACTTGTGTGGGCGAAATGGCAATGCTAATGGGAGAGCACCGACCGAGAGTCTCTATGTATATAGAGGGATGTGATTTTATTCTATACGAATATATTATGTTATACAAGCTATCATCGAGTTCCTGTGGCATAAACCACGAAATTTACAGTCTTTCAACTGTGTTTTTTTTCACCAAAATTAAATTCTAATAAGAGCCCCCTATTTCTGATTTTGAGCTCGCCCTGGGCACTTATTACGTCGAATATGGTATGCGCTTTTTCTTACTAGTACGTATATGGTCCTCTTTTAAATACATATTATTTGGAACTTTAGCACAATATCTTGACATAATTAAATGGGCTTCCATCGCTACATGTATTCCCCCTATTTCAGATCAATGATGACCAGCTGGAACAGTCTGCATCACTCTACACCTTTAACACCCCCAGGACGAAGGAAGCCCTGTATTACAGGAGGGTGTTTGAGAAGCACTACCCCACCAAGTCAGACTGGATTCCCTATATGTGGATGCCGCGTTGGATGAACGCAACAGACCCCTCCGCCAGGACGCTCAAACATTATAAACAGTAGAAGTAATCTTTATGGAAAAATATAAAACGAGTAAACATTTTGTGAACAGTGCTACGGGTACGGTTACTTATCTCAGCTTTTATACATTGGTAGCTTTTCAGCAAGTTTTTGTAGATGCGCTGGTATTGAAGTTCATAATCTGTTTTTATTTATTGACATAAAGTGGAACCCCATTAATTTGGAAATCCCCTTTTGGGGCAATAATTAACAGCATCTGTTAAAACTACAATTATTTTACATTGGCATTACTTGGTACCCTGTCTGCAATTCCGGGAATTGTGAATGTCCAAAAGATTTCAATGTTGGTGTTCCCAATACTGATGTATTGTGAAATACATTGCATTGTCAGAAATGACCTGACCCTGATATGCACTAATTAAGGGTAGGTGGAAAAAAAAGGAGTGATGTCGAATATGTCCTCAGCATGGAATGGTCTACGCCTGCCTTTCCATATGGCTCAATTAGGGCTGGGACGGGTAGCCTAGGTACTCGGTCGGGTGGGTACGCTTGTTACAAACTACAGATATGTCTCAATATATTTCACTGCCTCATCGGACTTCTGAGTTTTTTCATATAAAACCATATTTTCTCTGAATAATTCTGGGGAAAGGATATGTACAAGAAAATTATGGAGTTACCTTTTGCTTTTTGATTGAGTTCATTGAAGAAATATGTTGAATTGCATCTTCAATTACCCATCTCCATCTCCATTCTATTACATACTACTCAGCATTTGCTAAGGACCAAGATAGTCACCTATGTTCAGAGCTGTGGTCCTCCGCAAACTTAATAGGCTTAAACAAAATAAAAGAATTGGTTCTCAGACAATGTTTTTTGAAAATAAAGTGCAGGCGGTATGTCTAGTACTAGTATGTCACCAATAAACAGTTCTTTAATCAATAATCAGTTGTGAACAATCAACCTGGGAAAGGGCCTCCCTTTATAAATGTATTCCTTGATAAGTAAAATACTGGAATACAGTGTTTTTTTTAAATGGAAATAAAATGAAATGTGCGGCAAACTTTATGATGCGAGAACCAAGACTATAATTGTTTTTTAGCCTAATCATATCAGAGTGGATATCAAAGAGGATGTTAGATATGTTATTGTCATTGAATTACTGGCACAGGTGAAAGAGTGAGTATGGCTTTAGCATATCAAGCAGGGCACAGGGGAGACACCAAAAAGGGCTTCACATACTGACCCGTGTGAGACATAGGCAAAAGAACGCTCATGGCACATCACTCCCAACTCGCTTGGTAACTTTGAAGTTCTTTCATTTTTCATGACTTTTTGGAACATGAATCTGACTGTTGTTCTTGGGATTTATAGATTGAGAAATAAATATGAAAGATCTGAGTGTTTCAAACTACAATCTTGTTTTGTTTGAGGTGAGGTGAAATGAGGTTTAACGTTACGTCCAAGATTATTGCACTTATATAGCGACGTATGTGTATGTGGCTACTTGTACTAGTCCGGACTCATGCCGATTTATAGTGCTAGCTCACTGAGATACCATGCCGCAGTTTAACATTAAAACCCCACTCAGACAAAGTATACTCACTCCCAGCTGACAAGCCCCTTAATCCGAGCGCCAGACAGGGTAACAACATGTACCATCTTTTAACGTCTTTTGGTATGACGTGACCGGGGATCGAACCCTGTGTTTTGTATGATGCTGCACTCAGCAATATCCCAGCTAAACTGAGAAGCAAAAGAAACTATACCTCCAACTTGATTTTGATCAAATGTTCGATTTTCAACTGAAAATATCTTAAGTTAGCGATGTTTTATCCAGAAAATGAACAGTACTGGCCCTTAATCAGCACTCAAAGAATATTTCTACATGACAATAGACAAACTTAGTATGCTTTAGTTTGCCCCTCAGTTTGAATGACAGCAGCTTTTCAATAATAGAGGGTGGACCAGGCAATCCAGTGACTGACATCAGTAGCATCAATCCACACAATTGGGATACGATGACATGCATCAACAAGTCAGTGAGCCATACCACCCAATCCCGTTGATAGGTGCTGGGGAACTACTCGGGATCTCCATGGGGTATACTAGGATCAAGTTTACATGATTATTTTTCAACAATCCAAACCACTGGGAACACCAACAAAAGTGTATGAGGGACTTAGTTCAACACTGTATTCCAGTTATATCACGGCGTGTCAGCTGAATGTGGGAGGAAGCCCAGAAGATGTTTACCACTTTGGTGAAACCACAAGCACGGGTATGGTGCTGACAAAAAGAGAAACAGTATTGGGGCGAACTGGGATTCAAACCCATGATCATAGGTTATTGGCGTACTCAAGGGATGCAACTCTGTACAACATAACAGTGCCTTAGACGTCTGGGCCACTTGTCCCCCTCACCAACAATAGCTACAGTGACCCAGATGGGGGGACTTAAATCTGGTGGACATGAGATAGCTTTGAACTTACTACCTTCATGAATATTCCTCCCAGCTGAGGCTTTCCCTGGCAACGGGAATTGGACAGATATTTTAAAAATCCTGTCGTCTCCAACCATGTCACATACACACTAAGGAGTACCACTGAAGGTACTGTTTATCAATCGAACAGTGATTGAGTGAGTGAGTTGGGTTTAACGCCGCTTTTAACAGTATTTCAGTTATATCACGGCGTGTCAGCTTAATGTGGGAGGAAAGCCCGAAGTGATGCAGGTCTCGGACGTTTACCACTTCGGTGAAACTCACGAGCACGGGTATGGTGCTGACAAACCTCTAAACATCTTCGGATCTTCGGTGTGACGAGCGAACGCTTTAACCACTAGGCTACCCGACCGCCCCTGTCGAACAGTGAGTTGAAATGGGGTTTAACATCACATTCAAGATTTGATAATTGCACTTTTAGTGTCGGTGATGTGAGTGTGTGAGTATGGCTGCTTGAACTAGCCTGGACTAGTGCTAGTTTTATAGTGCTAGCCCAGAGATACCAAGCCTCAGTTAAACATGGATACCCAATTCAGACACAGTACACTGAAGTCCTTGTCTTATCCTCTTAGTACTGAGCGTCAGGCAGGATAACAAGATGTACTTTCTTTTAATGCCTTTTGGAATGACACGGATAGAGATTGAAAACTGATATTCAGGCTTGCTGGACAGATGCTCTTTCCACTTTTTTGCTTGTTTGTTGTTTAACGCCGCACTCAGCAATATTCCAGCTATATGACAGTGGTCTATAAATAATTGAGTCTGGAACAGACAATCCAGTGGCTAACATCATCTTGAGCATCGATCCACGCAATTGGGATACAACAACATGCATCAACCAAGTCGGCGAGTCTGACCACCTGATCCCGTTAGTCGCCTCTTACGACAACCATGGGTTACTGAAGATCTATTCTACCCCAGATCTTCATTGGTCTATCCACTAGAGCACGGAGACAGTCTCTGAAATGATGCGAGTTACTGAGACTTCTGTGGCCTTAGTGACCATGCTAACTGCACATGTTGTTATACATGTCTAACACTATGGAAGGTCACAGGCTTGAACAAACATGGTAGTTCCTTATGTAAAACTAATTGCTCACTTTGGTTAAAATCACATAGCATCACAGGCTCAAGAGTGAGTGAGTGAGTATGGTTTTACGCCGTTTTTAGCAATATTCCAGCAATATCACGACGGGGGACACCAGAAATGGGCTTCACACATTGTACCCATGTCGGGAATCGAACCCGGGTCTTCGGCGTGACGAGCGAACGCTTTAACCACTAGGCTACCCGACCGCCCCTCACAGGCTCAAGAGAACACTCTGATGAAGATCAATTGATTTATGAAAAAGGGTATGTCTGAATTTCATGTCTGTAAAGAATGCACACTTTATGGAGTGAAAGTTTGTTTATTTGTTGTTTAACTCTGCACTCGGCAATATGATCCAGCCCGTAACTAATCAAATTTGGACCACACAATACCATGAGTCCAGCCGAACACCATCATTGTAGGATGGTAAGCAATCAACCACGTCAGATTCTGACCACCCAATCGACCGAATTGTTTTATACGACAAGCTTAGGTTGCTTGGGATTAATTCTGACCCTGTGTGCAGTGGTGGTGTAAAAATGCTATGTCCATGTGTTGTGTAGAGTTTTAAGTGCTAAAGGCCGTCGCATGAATGACATGTACATGATGAGGATGAGGATAAGTTGGTTGGTTTGTTGTTTAACGCCGCACTCAGCAATATTCCAGTTATATGACGGCGGTCTGTAAATAATCAAGTCTGGACCAGACAATCCAATGATTAATATCATGAGCATCGATCCACGCATTTGGGATTGATGACATGCATCAACCAAGTCAGCGAGCCTGACCACCCGATCCCGTTAGTTGCCTTTTACAAGTATAGTCACTTTTTACGGCAAGCATGGGTTGCTGAAGACCTATTCTACCCCAGAATCTTCATGGGTCGGATGAGGATCAGAATGGGTGCTGACAACAGACTGTGGTCAGTTAACGTCATCTTCTGTGGTGGTCAGCAATATTCAAGCTACGTCATCTTCGTGCAGTGTTGTTAAACACAAGACTCTGGGCAAGGCAGACCAGGAATGACTTTCACCCAATAAGCACAAGATAATTGGGTCTAACTTCACCCTCCCAAATCCCTTTCTGTTGCACCCAACAGGAACAATATTGAAGGGTCTAACTTAACCCTCTAATTCTCATGCATGTTGCACCCAATAAGCACAAGACAGCTTAAAACCCTAAATACCCTTATATATTTCACCAACTAGGTACAAAATACCTGGGTCCAGCTTTAACCCCTTATAACAATGTGTGTTGCACTCAATAAGCACAGGATAGTTGGATCTAACTTATCCCCCAAAGTTCATGTACATACAAGCACAGGATAGCTGTCTCTTAAGCTCTCTCTTAAGTCATTGAAGTGAGTGAGTATGGTTTTATGCCGCTTTTAGCAATATTCCAGCAATATCACGGCGGGGGACACCAGAAATGGGCTTCACACATTGTATCCATGTCGGGAATCCAACCCAGTTCCTCGTCGTGATGAGCGAACGCTTTAACCACTAGGCTACCCCCTCCCCAAGTCATTGAAGTCCCATGTATGATGCACACTATAGTTTGGTCTTACTTAACCCCAGATCTCATATACACTGCACCCAATAAGCACATAGTTTGGTCTAACTTAACCCCAGGTCACATAATACTGCACCCAATAAGCACACTAAAGTTTGGTCTAACTTAGCCCCAGATCTCATACACACTGCACCCAATAAGCACACTATAGTTTGGTCTAACTGAGCCCAAGATCTCATACACACTGCACCCAATAAGCACACTATAGTTTGGTCTAACTTAACCCCAGATCCCATAAACACTGTACCCAATAAGCACACTATAGTTTGGTCTAACTTAACCCAAGGTCACATACACACTGCACCCAATAAGCACACTATAGTTTGGTCTAACTTAACCCAAGGTCACATACATACTGCACCCAATAAGCACACTATAGTTTGGTCTAACTTAACACCAGATCTCATACATACTGCACCCAATAAGCACACTATAGTTTGGTCTAACTTAACCCCAGATCTCATACACACTGCACCCAATTAGCACACTATAGTTTGGTCTAACTTAGCCCCAGATCTCATACATACTGCACCCAATAAGCACACTATAGTTTGGTCTAACTTAGCCCCAGATCTCATACGCACTACACCCAATAAGCACACTATAGTTTGGTCTATCTTAACCCCAGATCTCATACGCACTGCACCCAATAAGCACACTATAATTTGGTCTAACTTAACCCAAGGTCACATGCACACTGCACCCAATAAGCACACTATAGTTTGGTCTAACTTAACCCCAGATCTCATACACACTGCACCCAATAAGCACACTATAGTTTGGTCTAACTTAGCCCCAGATCTCTTACACACTGCACCCAATAAGCACACTATAGTTTGGTCTAACTTAACCCAAGGTCACATACATACTGCACCCAATAAGCACACTATAGTTTGGTCTAACTTAACCCCAGATCTCATACACACTGCACCCAATAAGCACACTATAGTTTGGTCTAACTTAGCCCCAGATCTCATACACACTGCACCCAATAAGCACACTATAGTTTGGTCTAACTTAGCCCAAGATCTCATACATACTGCACCCAATAAGCACACTATAGTTTGGTCTAACTTAACCCCAGATCTCATACGCACTGCACCCAATAAGCACACTATAGTTTGGTCTAACTTAACCCAAGGTCACATGCACACTGCACCCAATAAGCACACTATAGTTTGGTCTAACTTAACCCCAGATCTCATACACACTGCACCCAATAAGCACATTATAGTTTGGTCTAACTTAGCCCCAGATCTCATACACACTGCACCCAATAAGCACACTATAGTTTGGTCTAACTTAACCCCAGATCTCATGCACACTGCACCCAATAAGCACACTATAGTTTGGTCTCACTTAGCCCCAGATCTCATACACACTGCACCCAATAAGCACACTATAGTTTGGTCTAACTTAACCCCAGATCTCATACATACTGCACCCAATAAGCACACTATAGTTTGGTCTAACTGAACCCCAGGTCACATAATACTGCACCCAATATCACACTATAGTTTGGTCTAACTTAACCCCAGATCCCATACACACTGCACCCAATAAGCACACTATAGTTTGGTCTAACTTAACCCCAGATCCCATACACACTGCACCCAATAAGCACACTATAGTTTGGTCTAACTGAACCCCAGGTCACATAATACTCCACCCAATATCACACTATAGTTTGGTCTAACTTAACCCCAGATCCCATACACACTGCACCCAATAAGCAAACTACACTAGCCACATAAAGAAACTGTGCACGGACAAAATATTTTCTGGATTGAAATACAACACAGCAAGAACAAAATGATGCAGACGATGTAGCAGCTGAATGATCGGACCATAAGAAAATGTCAACGGGACCTGAACAACATCTGTTACGATGACGTCAGAAGATCAAAATGGAGTAGGGGGTCAAACGACAAAGTCACAAAGTCAATAACGGGTATGACCACCCTGTGCGTGAATCACAGCAGTGCATCGGCGACGCATGGAGTCCACCAAATGGGCATGGAAGGCCTGGGGAATGGCCTGCCATATCCTCCTCAAATCCTGTGCCAAGTCACGGACGTTATCTGCTCCACGCTCCATTTCATCCCACACATGCTCTATTGGGGAGAGATCTGGAGAATTTGCAGGCCATGGCAGTAACATGACATTGTTATGGTGAAGGAAATCCATTGCGACCCTAGCCATGTGAGGACGAGTGTTGTCCTGTTGAAATGTCAATCCCGGGCCATGACGTTGCAGGAAAGGAATGAACACAGGCCTCAGAATCTGATCTCTGTAGCCAACACCGGTGAGATTGCCCTGAACAACCACCAAAGGGGTTCGGTGCCGTGCTGTTATCCCACCCCAAATCATCACAGAGCCACCTCCAAAACGATTCCTCTCCACAATACAGTTGCGTGCATAACGTTCTCCCAAACGCCGGTAGACACGTTGGTGCCCGTCACTGTGGGAAATGTTGAACCTCGATTCATCTGTAAAGACAACGTTTCTCCACCATATTCGAGGTTGGCGAACATGATTTCGACACCATCTTAGACGGTTGACGCGATGACGGTGTGTCAGGATGGGACGTATGGCAGGGCGTCGTGGTCGAATCCCGTACTGACATAAACGATTCCTGACAGTGTTGGGATGGATACGGTGCAGTCCAGGAATTGTCTGGGACGTCGTTACTGCCGTTTGGAACTTGTGTCAGAGATGTGTAACTCGAATCCATCTGTCCTGTCTTGGCGTCGTTACTCGGGGACGTCCTGAAAGTGGGTGGTCGGCAACGTCATTTGTGTTCTGATAACGCCTCAACAATGCCAATATCGTGTTACGATGGCATTGGAAATGTGTTGCCACCTGTTGTTGCCTCATTCCCGCTCGGATCATTCCAATGGCTTCATGACGCTATGCAGCTGTCAATCTTGGCAAGATTTGCTTGTGATATGCTTGTGTCTGCGCCTGAGAAGTTTTGAATTTTTGAATGACCACAGATCATGCTTTCCAAATGACAGCGTATTTTGAGTTGCACAAGCTGTGTACAGCTGCACAGAATGCACGTGCAGTAACATATTGCACGTCCATAGGCCCCCATCAATGACGTCATATCGCATGGCACGTGCATGAGCGTTTGAATGTCTCCAATAATTGCTGTGTTCAAACCTATATTTCATATGTGGACGGTGTGCCCTTATATCTATATTTTCTCCGTGCAGAGTTTCTTTATGAGGCTAGTATATAGTTTGGTCCAACTTGATCCAGATCTCATACATACTGCACCCAATAAGCACAGGATAGCTGTCTCTAAATTAACCCCCAAGTCCATGTATGTTGCACCCAGTAACCACAAGATAGTTTGGTCTGAATTAACCCCACAAATTTTATGCACATTGCACCCAATAAGCACAGTAAAGGGTCTCTAACTTAACCCCCCAAACATAGCTCACTTACCAGATCTCATACATACTGCACCCAATAAGAGCCCCCCCCCCCCCCCCCCCCTCCAACCACCAAACATAGCTCATAGTAGTGTCTAACCTAACCCCAAAGTACCCATGCATGTCATCTTTCATCATCACAAGATATGGCAGAGTAATATATCTCTGTCATGCTCATGCACGTCTTTTCACAAGAGTGAGTTGGGTTTCACATCGCTTTTAGCAATATACCAGCAATATCACTACAGGGGACACCCGATGCATTGTACCCAGGTGTGGAATCGAACCTGGGCCTTCGGCGTGACCTTCATAGCCTTATGATGAAGTCTTAAATATTATTAGTCACCAGCTGCATTCATAGGGTAAAGAAATGATACTGTCATTATCAAAATCATCTGTTTGATTGCCAATTAATTTACATTTCCTTCGTCATCAGTAAAATGAACCTACATGTTTCCTCCATAACCCATTTTAGCAACTTAGTGAAGGAATGTTAAGGATTTAATAAGCCACAAAATGTAGGCAGGTTCTATGGGCTTGAAGTTGAAAAACAACATTGTTCACCAGTAATCTGGTTAATGGAAGAAAGAACACTGTGATTAATGAGTTTATTGTACATAGCATATTGTGTTACGCTAAACATGAAAATTCTCCACATACCAGACTTTTGTACCAATATCCCATAATTCATGAAGAAAAAATTACAAACTAACATATTTGGGATTTGAAATCAATTGTTCCTTTTATTCATCTAAGAACTAGCATATAAATGTTTTATATCTATACACATTTAAACAGAAAAGTATGCCATAACATTATTTATGATTTATAATCTTTTACCAATCCATTCGGTTCCTTTTATAGATTAAATCGACAATTAGAATCTGATATTTCCTATTATTATACAGAACACATACTAGGAATGTCAAAACAATTATTAATATGACTGAAGATTTATAGGGCGTTCGTTCCATCAGGTATATCAGACAGGGTTCTTGAGCATGTTAAAATATTCTGCAGTTAATATAATCTAGATAAAACATTCATCAGATCTTAACAAGGTTAGGCTATCTTTTGAATAGATATATATGTATATACAAAGTTCAATGACAATCTGCTATAAATACACAAATAATATACACAATTTACAATATATAAAACAACTAAAACTGACAGTCAGTCTAAAATTGTCAACAAATAACAAATTTCTAAGTCTTATCAAGCCTGTTAGTATCACACAAGGGACAGTCACTGAAACGTACAGTAACTTGATAGTTAGAAATGAAATGATGACATTTTTAAAATAAGCCAAAATTAAAATCTGCTTACCAGTTAGTCAAATACACAAACGTCCAAATTTCTTAGTTTATTGAAATGCCTTGGACTATCAATATTGGAACTGTTTGTTCACTAAAATATATAACGAAATTTCAAATAAAGAGAGATGAAAGTAAGATGACAAATACTAAGCAGACTGCAGGTAAATAGGTTGGGTACCAGTTAGACTGGTAGATATCGAGAAATTCCAGAATTCTTTGACTCATTCTCGATCACTAATTGCCTAAACTGGTAATAAAGGAAGTTCGAGTTTCAACACGATGCACAAATTAAAAAGACATTCCATTGTCAAATAATAATCAACACTTGAAAATGTTCAAAGTTCAAACACTCAGTGTTGGAAAAGCTGCCTCAATGTTGGGAAATCCAAATTATTATTTTCACTCCATGTATAGTTAACTGCTGAAACAAAATCAGTAACACCAATAACAGTACGTTGACAACACATTCTTGAGGTTGAGGTATCTATCCATTGTAAGAAACTGTGAAAGTACTGCTGCCGTATTTAGCTATAACCACATTTTATCTGTTGTCACCGAAGATAATTCTGTTACCGTACTTGGCAAAATAGTACTGGGTAGCCTGACTATTGAACAACATCCCTGTATTGTATCATGTGGTCGCAGAGGGTGTGTGTGTAACGGGAACGGGAGTCAATTTTTGCCACGGATCAGCCAACATACTCGGGTGATAGTATTGTGCTATGTCATTGCATCCTCCAGGATTTGAATTAGGATCTCGTCTAGGACTCTGTGAAATAACAGATTATGGTATGGTAATATTGATGAAAACAAAAAACACATTATTCTTACAGTTCTTCTAGATGGTGTATTAGAAGAGAATTATTCCAAAGATAGGCATGTTAGATGCAAGCATGGTAACAGTTGTATACTATTACAGATTGGACATTAAAGAAATTGTATCCTATTAAACAAATAGTCTTTAAAGTTGTTCTCAAATGGAAATATACATACTTGTCACAATGTCGGAACTTTAATTGAGCTTAACATTTAGGCTACAATTAATAGTTATTGTTAAGAAAGAGATGAACATTTTTTTCTAATCAAGCAAAAGTGTTCGTGATACAAATTTATAAGAAATATTCAATAAAACGTGGGTTCTAACCTTCATATTTAACCTCTGGTGTGACATGGGGCGGAAATTCTTGTCACAGCTCCAACTTTTCTGAGGTGAGGGGTTTCGGACCACAGGTTGTGGTGTTCTAAACGTGTTTCCACAATTACCAAAGCTGTTACCATAATGACGGGGACTGGTCATGAAATTATGGTAGGGGGGAAACTGTTGTTGGTGTGGCCTTGGAGGAGGAGATGTTAAATTATATTGTGGCGGCGAAGTAAATTGACCTGGTCGGGGCCCATTCGACTTGGGGCCTACAATCGCACCTGACCCCCAGGCAGGGCTACTATTATGTTTCTTGATCTGAGGCGATCGATGGTGATTAAACCCTGTCGGAGTAGACATGTTACCTTGTTGAAACGGACTGCGATTCGGTGGACGCATATTACTCATAACTACGCAGTATACTGAGATATAAGTAAAAGATTTGAAAATTCCCCCTCCTTTGATTGAAGCCACACCGGATATAGAAAGTTGCGGAATTATACCAAAAGTAGAAACTAAGGAAATACGAAGAACTAATATTCATGGGAAATATTCACATTTATTTAGTTCAGGTATATTTGAGAAATATGTATGTTTTAACATTTTTATATTTTAACATTATGAAAGATCTTTTAATTATCTTATCCTTTCTGGGATTTTTGTATTATTCTAATTATCGACGATCCATCCTCCGAACATAGTTTACTCTTTTGAAAGGAAATGCAGGTACACATCAAACGATGACGTATTTCACATAGAGGTTGGGGATTTCTTCCAACTCCCATCAATTTATTCCAAATGTTTCAAGTTTCACGGGTTATTTGCTATAATCGATAGTCGATTTTAAAGTGACACCATGGTTTAAAATTCAGACAACCGATTTTGAATAATAATTACTTTTAGTTGGGTGAAACAACTTGTAAACCCGTGCAACAACCGACTGACCGAGAAAACGAAAGTGACAGAACGTCGAACTTTAATCTGTGTTTACTCATGAGGTGCTGTAGATGATCCCGGACTAAGGGATCTCCAGACCGAAGAGTCAGGCTCTTCTTTGAACTGTTGTGAAAATGGGTATGTTTTATTTCTGCTTTGTCGTATTAATCATGTAAATAACCCAAACCACCTTTACACCTATCCTGGTCTACAGTGCACACGGACCGCCTCTGTGGTCTAGTGGTAGAGCGTCCGCCCGGAGAGTAGAAGGCCTGGGGTTCGGTCCCCGGCCGTGTCATACCAAAAGACATTAAAAGATGGTACTGTACTTGTTGTTACCCTGTCTGGCGTTCGGCATTAAAACAAGGACTGGTCGGCTCGGAGTCAGTTTACTGTGTCTGAGTGGGGTATTCATGTTAAACTGCAGCATGGTATCTCAGTGAGCTAGCACTATAAATCAGCATCAGTCCGGACTAGTACAAGCAGCCACATACACAAACACATGCATGTACATCGCTATATGAGTGTAATAATCTTGGACGTTAAACCCCATTTAACCTCACCTCACCTCACCTCACCTCTACAGTGCACACACATTTATACAATTATTACGATCATTTCTCCATGAGCCTATCTGTCAAGTGATAGCAGGATTGTGTTGTTCTTCAAATCATTGAGTGTAACAGATTCATGCAGCAAAGTATATTTAACGCCTAACATATGGACGAAATTAGGCAACAATGCAGTTCATGGAGCTTTCACTTTACATATCTTGCATGCTTCCTCATTCCCTAGGGTTAATTGTGCTTGGGTAAGGATAGGTTACTCCGAACAACCTTAGCCCATTTTTCCCATTTCTGATCATTAGTTTTACATACCCTTTTCCGATCAAACACCCCTTTATGATTCGTAAGGGTAAGGTTCCCCATGATTAAAATTGCTACGGTTAGTTTTAAGTAGGGTATGGGTTAGCTATCACTTTTAATGTATCAATCCAATGAAATTTGATAAAAGTCCATAAAAGTTTTATCAAGTTTTAAGTTTCGTGGAGAAAATGGCTATTGCACATGTGCATAAAGGAAAACAAACAGGTCCTGATCCCTTTGTGAACACACACTAATTATTTGTGATAGTGCCCTTGGTCCTGTCCTAAAGTGTTGACAAATTAGATTAATTCATCAGTGTAGCTTAGTTTCAAGCTGGCAACATGAGATTGATCCGCCCCGCTGCGCAATGAAATCTGATAAAGTGTACCCGGTAAAGTGCACCACTCTCAAAATTATAATTATACATTCAACATTGCATATATATATATACTAATAGACCACCTGATGACCCGTGAAGATCTGGGTAGAGAATAGGTCCTTAGCATGCTTGCAACCCATGCTTGCCGCAAGAGGTGACTGGTAAGAGGCAACTAACCGGATCGGGTGGTCAGGCTCGCTGGCTTGGTTGGTGCATGTCACCATATCCCATTTGCGTAGATCTATGCCTGTGATGTGATTTGATTATTTACAGACGGACTTCATATCGCTAGAAAATAGCTGAGTGGCGCGTCACACAACAAACAAACAAAAGCAAAGTCCAAACTCTTGTGGCAAGGAAATCTCTTAGTTGCTTGAGATGTAGAATTGTTGCATACTGAGTAATGGGCTTAAAAGATATAATAGACATATGCCACCAACAGTTTTGAAGGTGCATAAATTTATATAATTTCATCCTGAGATCTCCATGCTGGCATGAATCTGTTTTAGCTCTGTGTTAACAACGCTATCATAATCATACCATCACTCTGAACCTCATGAAGATGTGAACTATAGCACTTAATTTTATCAGGGAGTCCATATGATGTATTATGATTGAATCTCTTGATTCTAATTTTTTTGTATAAGAGTATAACAAGAACGTAAAGTCTTCTTGTTTTAACTTATCTGTCATAATCATTTTCAGTAGATTTTATTGTTACGATTTACAATTATTGTCTGAGGTTACTAAACCTAAAAGCCTCTATTTGTTGCTATAACACAAGCCACTTACTCACCTATTCACAAGCCTACTCCCAAGCCTACTCCCAAGCCTACTCACATGTCTACTGGCATCCGACTAGTAGCCAACATTGCTAATGTTCAGACTGCTATATATAAAGACGTATGTCAAAACAAATAAAAGGGGCGGTCGGGTAGCCTAGTGGTTAAAGCGTTCGCTCGTCAACCCGAAGACCCCGGTTCGATTCCCGACATGGATACAATGTGTGAAGCCCATTTCTGGTGTCCCCCGCCGTGATATTGCTGGAATATTGCTAAAAGCAGTGTAAAACCATACTCACTCACTCACTCAAAACAAATAAAAGGTGGAAAAGGTGTGCCTACAATGACATGTAGTCTACTGAATCCATATGCAGAACACATATTATTGAAGAATGTTGCTATTTATGTCCATATAGCTGTAAAGCTTTAATTACATTTTGCTTTCAGTAACCATATTTATGTCATGCAAATTAAGATGCTTGCAATATTTACCTCCAGAAGCAGGAAGTTGAGATGTAACAAGGACAATGAACTCTGTTACACGAACAGTTCAGGATAAAGGTGAGACCATTGTTAAGGGCATTTACCATGTTCACAATGATTTGAAGCTGCGGTCAGTCAGCCATTATGTTTTGTATTCCCATTGTACATCCTTCTTCAGGGTTTTACCTTGTCCTACAAAACTTTGAGATTATTATGAAACATGGTTGCTGCATTCATTGTCAGCTACTGTTCCACTTTTACCATCCTGAGATTTGGATAATTATTGGATCTTAAGAAGCTATTTATATGATAAACCAGCTCACAAGCCAATCTACGCGCCCACTCAGCCGCCAACTAATTCACGTACTTACAAACCTACTCACAAGCCAATTCATGCGCCCACTCATGCACCTACTCACACACCCACTCACACGTCCATTCACAACCCCACCCACACGACTATTCACAAGCCTACTCACACACCTATTCACAAGCCTACTCACAAACCTATTCACAAGCCTATTCACACACCCACTCACTCGCATTTCAATCTATATGTGCGTTGATTTATTTGTGTCATGGAACAAATTGTATACAGTCTTTATTATGTTACAGTGTCCCAGAATGTTGGTGGTCGGAGTATGGTGTTTGACTGTGAAGGTCCAGTCAATGCCATCACAACTAACAAGGACTCCAGTCTTGTAGTGGCAGCGGGCAGGACAGGTAGGTACATCGGGTGTGAGGTGTGTCACCTGCAGGGGCCGTGCAGTATCAGTACTGGATCTTTGAAAGGCATTTAGAAGTGATTCACATAAGGAAGAGAATATATGGATGTCAACTTCTTTGTTATGAGGAACACAACGTTTCGGAGTATATGCTTACTCCGTCATCAGTAAGCATATACTCCGAAACTTTGTGTTCCTCATAATAAAGAAGTTGACATCCATATATTCTCTTCCTTAATATCAGTACTGGATTATGGTTATATCATCATGTTGATGGAAGGGGTGGAGGGGTAGCCTAGTGGTTAAAGCGTTCGCTTGGCACGCCAATGACACTGGACACACGCCCCTCATGGACACAAAGTCCATTTCTGATGTACCCCGTCATTATATTGCTGGAATATTACTAAAAGCGGCTTTAAACCATTACTACCCTCTCATGTTGATACAAAGCCCATTTCTGGTGTCCCTCGTCATTATATTGCTGGAATATTACTAAAAGCGGCTTTAAACCATTACTACCCTCTCATGTTGATACAAAGCCCCTTTCTGATGTACCCCGCCATTATATTGCTGGAATATTACTAAAAGCGTCTTTAAACCATTACTACCCTCTCATGTTGATACAAAGCCCATTTCTGGTGTCCCTCGTCATTATATTGCTGGAATATTACTAAAAGCGGCTTTAAACCATTACTACCCTCTCATGTTGATACAAAGCCCCTTTCTGATGTACCCCGCCATTATATTGCTGGAATATTACTAAAAGCGGCTTTAAACCATTACTACCCTCTCATGTTGATACAAAGCCCCTTTCTGATGTACCCCGCCATTATATTGCTGGAATATTACTAAAAGCGGCTTTAAACCATTACTACCCTCTCATGTTGATACAAAGCCCCTTTCTGATGTACCCCGCCATTATATTGCTGGAATATTACTAAAAGCGTCTTTAAACCATTACTACCCTCTCATGTTGATACAAAGCCCATTTCTGGTGTCCCTCGTCATTATATTGCTGGAATATTACTAAAAGCGGCTTTAAACCATTACTACCCTCTCATGTTGATACAAAGTCCATTTCTGGTGTCCCTCGTCATTATATTGCTGGAATATTACTAAAAGCGTCTTTAAACCATTACTACCCTCTCATGTTGATACAAAGTCCATTTCTGGTGTCCCTCGTCATTATATTGCTGGAATATTACTAAAAGCGTCTTTAAACCATTACTACCCTCTCATGTTGATACAAAGCCCATTTCTGGTGTCCCTCGTCATTATATTGCTGGAATATTACTAAAAGCGTCTTTAAACCATTACTACCCTCTCATGTTGATACAAAGTCCATTTCTGGTGTCCCTCGTCATTATATTGCTGGAATATTACTAAAAGCGTCTTTAAACCATTACTACCCTCTCATGTTGATACAAAGCCCATTTCTGATGTACCCTGCCATTATATTGCTGGAATATTACTAAAAGCGGCTTTAAACCATTACTACCCTCTCATGTTGATACAAAGTCCATTTCTGGTGTCCCTCGTCATTATATTGCTGGAATATTACTAAAAGCGTCTTTAAACCATTACTACCCTCTCATGTTGATACAAAGTCCATTTCTGGTGTCCCTCGTCATTATATTGCTGGAATATTACTAAAAGCGTCTTTAAACCATTACTACCCTCTCATGTTGATACAAAGTCCATTTCTGATGTACCCTGCCATTATATTGCTGGAATATTACTAAAAGCGTCTTTAAACCATTACTACCCTCTCATGTTGATACAAAGCCCATTTCTGATGTACCCTGCCATTATATTGCTGGAATATTACTAAAAGCGTCTTTAAACCATTACTACCCTCTCATGTTGATACAAAGCCCATTTCTGGTGTCCCTCGTCATTATATTGCTGGAATATTACTAAAAGCGTCTTTAAACCATTACTACCCTCTCATGTTGATACAAAGCCCATTTCTGATGTACCCTGCCATTATATTGCTGGAGTATTACTAAAAGCGTCTTTAAACCATTACTACCCTCTCATGTTGATACAAAGCCCATTTCTGGTGTCCCTCGTCATTATATTGCTGGAATATTACTAAAAGCGTCTTTAAACCATTACTACCCTCTCATGTTGATACAAAGCCCATTTCTGGTGTCCCTCGTCATTATATTGCTGGAATATTACTAAAAGCGGCTTTAAACCATTACTACCCTCTCATGTTGATACAAAGTCCATTTCTGGTGTCCCTCGTCATTATATTGCTGGAATATTACTAAAAGCGTCTTTAAACCATTACTACCCTCTCATGTTGATACAAAGCCCATTTCTGGTGTCCCTCGTCATTATATTGCTGGAATATTACTAAAAGCGTCTTTAAACCATTACTACCCTCTCATGTTGATACAAAGTCCATTTCTGGTGTCCCTCGTCATTATATTGCTGGAATATTACTAAAAGCGTCTTTAAACCATTACTACCCTCTCATGTTGATACAAAGCCCATTTCTGGTGTCCCTCGTCATTATATTGCTGGAATATTACTAAAAGCGTCTTTAAACCATTACTACCCTCTCATGTTGATACAAAGTCCATTTCTGGTGTCCCTCGTCATTATATTGCTGGAATATTACTAAAAGCGTCTTTAAACCATTACTACCCTCTCATGTTGATACAAAGCCCATTTCTGATGTACCCTGCCATTATATTGCTGGAATATTACTAAAAGCGGCTTTAAACCATTACTACCCTCTCATGTTGATACAGAGTCCATTTCTGGTGTCCCTCGTCATTATATTGCTGGAATATTACTAAAAGCGTCTTTAAACCATTACTACCCTCTCATGTTGATACAAAGTCCATTTCTGGTGTCCCTCGTCATTATATTGCTGGAATATTACTAAAAGCGTCTTTAAACCATTACTACCCTCTCATGTTGATACAAAGTCCATTTCTGGTGTCCCTCGTCATTATATTGCTGGAATATTACTAAAAGCGTCTTTAAACCATTACTACCCTCTCATGTTGATACAAAGCCCATTTCTGGTGTCCCTCGTCATTATATTGCTGGAATATTACTAAAAGCGTCTTTAAACCATTACTACCCTCTCATGTTGATACAAAGTCCATTTCTGGTGTCCCTCGTCATTATATTGCTGGAATATTACTAAAAGCGTCTTTAAACCATTACTACCCTCTCATGTTGATACAAAGCCCATTTCTGATGTACCCTGCCATTATATTGCTGGAATATTACTAAAAGCGTCTTTAAACCATTACTACCCTCTCATGTTGATACAAAGCCCATTTCTGGTGTCCCTCGTCATTATATTGCTGGAATATTACTAAAAGCGTCTTTAAACCATTACTACCCTCTCATGTTGATACAAAGCCCATTTCTGATGTACCCTGCCATTATATTGCTGGAGTATTACTAAAAGCGTCTTTAAACCATTACTACCCTCTCATGTTGATACAAAGCCCATTTCTGGTGTCCCTCGTCATTATATTGCTGGAATATTACTAAAAGCGTCTTTAAACCATTACTACCCTCTCATGTTGATACAGAGTCCATTTCTGGTGTCCCTCGTCATTATATTGCTGGAATATTACTAAAAGCGTCTTTAAACCATTACTACCCTCTCATGTTGATACAAAGTCCATTTCTGGTGTCCCTCGTCATTATATTGCTGGAATATTACTAAAAGCGTCTTTAAACCATTACTACCCTCTCATGTTGATACAAAGCCCATTTCTGATGTACCCTGCCATTATATTGCTGGAATATTACTAAAAGCGTCTTTAAACCATTACTACCCTCTCATGTTGATACAAAGCCCATTTCTGGTGTCCCTCGTCATTATATTGCTGGAATATTACTAAAAGCGTCTTTAAACCATTACTACCCTCTCATGTTGATACAAAGCCCATTTCTGATGTACCCTGCCATTATATTGCTGGAGTATTACTAAAAGCGTCTTTAAACCATTACTACCCTCTCATGTTGATACAAAGCCCATTTCTGGTGTCCCTCGTCATTATATTGCTGGAATATTACTAAAAGCGTCTTTAAACCATTACTACCCTCTCATGTTGATACAGAGTCCATTTCTGGTGTCCCTCGTCATTATATTGCTGGAATATTACTAAAAGCGTCTTTAAACCATTACTACCCTCTCATGTTGATACAAAGTCCATTTCTGGTGTCCCTCGTCATTATATTGCTGGAATATTACTAAAAGCGTCTTTAAACCATTACTACCCTCTCATGTTGATACAAAGCCCATTTCTGATGTACCCTGCCATTATATTGCTGGAATATTACTAAAAGCGTCTTTAAACCATTACTACCCTCTCATGTTGATACAAAGCCCATTTCTGGTGTCCCTCGTCATTATATTGCTGGAATATTACTAAAAGCGTCTTTAAACCATTACTACCCTCTCATGTTGATACAAAGTCCATTTCTGGTGTCCCTCGTCATTATATTGCTGGAATATTACTAAAAGCGTCTTTAAACCATTACTACCCTCTCATGTTGATACAAAGCCCATTTCTGGTGTCCCTCGTCATTATATTGCTGGAATATTACTAAAAGCGGCTTTAAACCATTACTACCCTCTCATGTTGATACAAAGTCCATTTCTGATGTACCCCGCCATTATATTGCTGGAATATTACTAAAAGCGTCTTTAAACCATTACTGCCCTCTCATGTTGATTAAGATATGTGATACAAAAGCTGCAAGTTTTTGTGGTTTATCATCGGATACAATATAAAAAACCATTTATAAAAAGGTACAAGAGATTTCCAATAATTAGATACATAACTGAAAATGTTGGCCAAGAGTCTCCAGTGATCTGCGCAACTATTGAACTAATCATGTGGTGTCCTGCTTTCAGTGTTTCGGATACTAGCTATAGAAGATGGCCACTTCGAAGAGCGCTTGAACCTCAGGGTGGGGAAAGCCAAGAACTCCAACCTCAACTACTCCGCTGCAGATGTCGCATGGAACCACCAAGATGGTCAGATGTGTTGTCATGACAATGATTATTCAAAGATGGGCTGTGGCCAGTTCATTCACTATGAGGGATAGACTGTCTGATGGGTTTTTCGTATGCCAGCTATATGAGGAATGTAGCAGTTTTCTTAAGACCACTGTTCAGATCAGCATGATAAGTGACCTATCACGTTTTTAAAATGGTCGATGATGAAGAAATTCCTCGTTCTTGTTTCAATTAATTTAAAAGTAGGCTATGTTAGTGATTAAATCTTTTTTTTTACATTCATTTTTGTATTAGACGACACAAATAAAGAGTAAATACTTCCTATTAATTTAATGAGACTGTCAGTTGTCAATATTGTAATGATGTTGTGCTTGCTAGAGGTATGCATGCTCAGTTGTGAAGTTATCTCCCTTAACCCCATGGTTCTGGTGGACCTGCTTAGAAAAGGTTACACACAACCAAATGTTTTTACATAAACTTCCATAGTAACATAATGCCCTTTTGTGACTTCAATATGGGAGCTGTAAAGACAATATGAAGACAGCTTGAAGACAATATAATATGTCCATCAAAAATATGTCCCCCAAATTGTGCCAAAAATGTACCCTTTTGTTTAAAAGTATGCTAAAGACTTGACCCAAAAGATATTTTGAATACTCAAAGAAAATTATTATACCCAATAACAATGACCGCAGACTGAAATAGATTTTCTCAAGCACTACCTATATAATGTATGTCACATGTAATTGTTTCCATCCTCTTTGCAGAAAACATCCTTGCATCTGCAGCAACAAATGGGTCAGTTGTGATCTGGGATTTGAACAGGCCTACTCGTTTAAAACAAGGCAAGACATATATTTATTTTCTTCCTTTATTGTCACAAAGATTTCTGTGATTGTTCTTCCCTATACAGATTCCTGGGCAGATTCTCAATACCCTGCTTCCCTGCAGATTCCCTGCTTTAAGAGCCTCACTTTTGAAATGAGTTTGAAATCCGTAAACCAAAAAATAAAAAAAGTGTCGCCTTAAGAACTGGATGAAATTTGGCAACATGCCATGAAGATTCAATACCACTGCGTTGCGACTGATATAACAGTATTTGTTACATGTCTGTAGTATTACTGACTGATATAACAGTATTGTTACATGTCTGTTGTATTACTGACTGATATAACAGTATTTGTTACATGTCTGTAGTAATACTGACTGATTGATTTGTCTGCATATTTCAGTTGATTTAATGCATATTTTACGCAGCTGATCTTGAGCTCTGGTTATATATGTCATTGTTTCTGCCCATGTTCTGTGACATGACAATATACTCCATGTCCAGATAAAAATCTGTTACTTATTATGAGAGGAAGGGATGCCCACAATTTATGCATTAATTTCATGCTCGGATTAATTTCAGGATTTACAGTATATATATATATCGGTAGTTTCTTACTAGTATCTCACTGATATGTCACTAGCAACCTGGCAGCGTAATAGATGAGCAGGCTCAGTAACTTTGCTCATAGCATCAATCACTGGTTTGTCTGTGCCTGATTCGATTCTTTACAAACAAACAAACAAGTGAAACAACATCATTTTCCTCTTACACTTTGCTGTGTGTATTATGCTGCTATATTTGTCACTCACTCACTCACTCCATTGTGTGTTGCAGAACATGTGTTTGCGGATCACAAGCGTTCCGTGAACAGGGTCAACTTTCACAGTGGAGAACACCAGCTTCTCATCAGCGGATCTCAAGATGGCAATGTCATCCTCTTCGTACGTTGTATATGTCAAGTGTTTCCACAGATGATGTACATTCTCTGTAGCATTGGGGGCATAGGTGACCCAGGGCACTCTTTCACGAAGTGATCGTATCGCTAAGACGATCTCTACGCCCATACTTTTACATGGACTTACGAGAGTCATAGCGCTAAAACAATCTTAACTCCTATACTTTAACATAGACTTACGACAGTTGTTGCGCTAAGACGATCTTAAATCCCATACTTTAACATAGACTGACGACAATCATAACGCTCAGACGAGCTTAACTCCCATACTTTAACATAGACTTACGACAGTCATAGTGCTAAGACGATCTTAACTCCCCTACATTAACATAGGCTGATGACAATCGTAGCGCTAAGACAATCTTAACTCCCATAGTTTAACATAGACTTACGACAATCGTAACGCTAAGACGATCTTAACTCCCATACTTTAACATAGACTTACGACAGTTACATGTGTTGAGAAGTGTGATCAAGACTGACATAACTCTGTTCTCATCTGAAGTGTTCCAACAGGAGTGACTCATTTGTTTACAAGAATGTTATTATAGTAGTGAGGTGAGGTGAGGTGAAATTGGGTTAAACGTTGCGTCCAAGATTATTGCACTTATATAGCGACGTGCATGTACGTGTGTGTGTGTGGCTGCTTGTACTGGTCAGGACTGATGCCGATTTATAGTGCTAGCTCACTGAGATACCATGCCGCAGTTTAACATGAATACCCCACTCAGACACAGTATACTGACTCTGAGCCGACCAGTCCTTGTTTTAGCCCCTTAATGTCGAGCGCCAGACAGGGTAACAACAAGTACCATCTTTTAACGTCTTTTGGTATGACGCGGCCGGGGATCGAACCCCGGACCTTCCGCTCTCCAGGCGGACGCTCTACCACTGGACTACGGAGGCGGCTTATTACAGAGTGAATCTGTCACTGTCATTATAAATACTGAACTAGGGAACTTACTCTTTTCATGTTTTGCTTATTTGTTTATAAATATGAAGTTACTGTAGTTGTTGTTTTATTCAGTGTTTGTGATGGTTTTAACAACAGGATGTGAGGAAGAAATCGGTGAGTTCGAGGTTCGTGGCAAAAGGATCGGAGAGTGTGCGAGATGTCCAGTTCTGTCCAAACAGCTACTTCACATTTGGTGCCACCTACGACAACGGCAATGTCCAGGTGAGGAGGGCTCTTGTGTTACCATGGTTACACATTGCATGTACAAGTGCTAAGGCTAAGCAGGGCTCGATTTAACTTTCTAAAACATGTACCAGTGCAAAATATCATTGAAAAGTGCATCCTACTATTTATGTCTACATGCACCAAGAGCGTGTGTAAAGACTTCAGTTTTTTTTCTGACTGACCCTTACTTTTCCACACAACAACTTTCCTTGAACACACTCAATACCTCTATGTTTAATGTACCATGCAGTACCACACTGTACCACTAATCCCAGAACCTAGTGGTTAAAGCGTTCGCTCTTCACGCCGAAGACCCGGGTTCAATTCCCGACATGGGAACAATGTGTGAAGCCCATTTCTGGTGGTCCCCGCCGTGATATTGCTGGAATATTGCTAAAAGCAGCGTAAAACCATACTCAATCACTCACTCACTAATCCCTGTGTTATTTGCATGTAGTCATTCTTTCATGGGGTTTGTCAGCATCATACGTGCTGGTGGGTTTCACCGAAGTGGTAAACGTCTGAGACCTGCATTACTTCGGGCTTTCCTCCCACATTATGCTGACATGCCGTGATATATATAACTGGAATACTGTTAAAAGTGGCGTTAAACCCAACTCACTCACTCACTCTTTCTTTGGATCGACGTCATCATCAACAATGCATTATGTTAATTTATGAAAAAATATGACAAACTCATCAAAAGGCTAAGACTTTATGCATCTGTTATGTCTATGTTTGAAAAATGTATGTGAACACGGTGAAACCTGGTTTTGTCTGGTGCAACTACCGGTAGGTTTCCATGTCGACATGCACCTAGTTAACGTTAAATCAAGTTCCTTAAATTGAGCCCAGCTAAGAAACATGACGTTATATCACTTGTCACATTAAACACATTACTGGCAAAGTAATATGGACTTCTTTGCTGCAAATGTTCATTACGCCTGACTTTGTCGGAGGTGTGTGTTACGTGTATCTAACAGTCGCTCAACTGTTGTTGGGGGCCAGGGTGGGGAACTAGTCTAAGGCATCGTAATTCACTCTGCCAGGATTAGCTGCTTGTCTGTTCACATCCTGATTGTTTATTGGTCTGTTGGCGCCATGCCCTTTTACCAAAGTCGTAAATGTCTAAGACAGGTCACTTCAGGGCAGACTGCCTCTGTGGTCTAGTGGTAGAGTGTCCGCCCGGAGAATGGAAGGACCAGGGTTCGATCCCCGGCCGCATCATACCAAAAGACATTAAAAGATGGTACCCTGTCTGGCGCTCGGCATTAAGGGGGTAAAACAAGGACTGGTCGGCTCGGAGTCAGTATACTGTGTCTGAGCGGGGTATCATGTTAAACTGCGGCATGGTATCTCGTGAGCTAGCACTATAAATCGGCATCAGTCCGGACTAGTACAAGCAGCCACACACACACGTACATGCACGTCGCTGTATAAGCTCAATAATCTTGGACGCGACGTTAAACCCCATTTCACCTCACTTCAGGGCATGCTGCCTACATATAGCCAACAAGCCATGATATTGCTTTGGAATATTTTTCAAGCTGAAAATCGACTCACTTGCTCAAACAGGAATAAAACATTGAACATGGTCAACACATATAACTCAAGACTAATATTTTGGTCCTTCAGAAAAAAACTGCACATCTGGCCACCAGCCATGGCACATAGATTCAGTCTATGCCAGAATGTTTTGACTGAACATATCACTTAGCATCTTTTTCAGTCACGTTTAATGTTATCATATGGACTATTATTGGCTGAGCTTACAAGACAGAACAGAATGTTACTAGACTCGGGAATGTGACTAGTGGCTAATGTTGCAGACTGTCCATTGTATATGAGTATAGCTTTTTATTTGAGTTTATTTCACACTTAAACTCAGATCTGGGACATGCGTCGACCTGACCGGTATGAGAGTGTATTCACGGCCCACTCCGGACCAGTCTTCTCCCACGACTGGCACCCTGAGGACAAGAACTGGATGGCAACTGCCGGGCGGGACAAACTCATACGGGTGAGTACATACCACATCACGCAGGAGATTCCCTATTGTGAAATCAAACTCTTACACATTGATTTCCAGATCATTGATGGTTGGTTGACATTATTATGGGTTGTGTGAAGTATTAATGTTAAACCTGAGAGCCTAGGGCAACTTTAGGATACCTGTTACTTAAGGCTAAAAAATATAATATTCTTGGTTCTAAGGCACGCATCATCATGAAGTCCGCCGCGTGTTTATTTTTAATACCATTTAAAAAAAAAATGAAAATCCTAATACTTAAAAACAATGTGATCCAATACAACACACAGTTACTTCCCTTTACATGCGCATCTCGTGTCATGGTCATGGCAGCGATAGGAGTTTGTATGCTTGTTTATGCAGGGAGGCCCTTTCCCAGGTTGATGGTACACAACAGTTTATTTGGTTACTGTACGTACTAGTTTGAACCCCACCCAACCACCAACCCCAATTTTTTGGAAAAAACACCGCCCCTGCACACTATTTTTTTAAAAGTGATAGCCTGAGAAGCACAAAAGTAAATTTTAGCTCACTGGGGCAAAGAGTCAAGCAAGCTTACAATATGGCAAGTTATCCATTTCTGTCAAACTTTTATTTGCTGTGCATGCTGCATGTCTCAGGCGTGCCAGATACCTATGGTAGTAGGTTCATCTACACCATGCCCGTGCTTGTGGGTTTCACCAAAGTGGTAACATTTGAGACCTGAATCACTTCGGGCTTTCCCATGTGTGGCTGCTTGTACTAGTCCGGACTGATGCCGATTTATAGTGCTCGCCCACTGAGATACCATGCCGCAGTTTTACATGAATACCCCACTCAGACACAGTATACTGACTCCGAGCCAACCAGTCCATGTTTTAGCCCCTTAATGCCTAGTGCCAGACAGGCTAACAACAAGTACCACCTTTTAATGCCTTTTGGTATGATGCGGCAAGGGATCGAACCCCGGACCTTCCGCTCTCTGGGCGGACGCTCTACCACTAGACCACGGAGGCGGTCAAATCAACAAGGAGTTATAATAATACAGAATACTTAAGTAGTCTTAAAATTATCTGCCAAACAATCGGGCAGGTGGAGTAAAATTTCATTTTGCCCAACAGAAAAGTTACCAGCCAAGGGCAGGCGGGCAGGCAGAGAAGCCTCACAATATGATCCACCCCCTCCCACATCAAACTGAAATGCTGTGATATAACTTGAGTACTGTTAAAATCGTTGTTAAGCCCAACTCAATCACTCTCTATTGCACTTAAACACTTCTTAACTTATTGAATGGATTTTAACCATGTATGGATAATACGTTCACCTGTAGGAAGACATTATACTCACTGTATGTTAGTGTGCCATCTTAGGGCAAACGGATGAAAGCATGTGCATCTACCGCGGTCATATACGGTACCTATTTCCCTAAATTACTTATGAGCAGCAAAATTCCATCCATAACACTTTACAGTCTTATTCAAAATTACAATGTCACAGTTTAAAGAAGGCAGCATTGCTCGATAAATTAAGTTTTATGTTTTCAACAGCAGCACTTGACATGTCATGAAATAGATATTAATTCACTTATTGTTTAATATTTATAACAATATGACATGTAGATTCTGGACTGCAGCATAACTCTAGATACAAACTTGCCGCCTGATATAAACTGTATCTGTATGATGACTGCAGGTCTGGGACATTTCCCGTATGCCGGCCAAGCTGATGTTTAACATACAGACAATTGCGTCAGTGGCCCGGGTGAAGTGGCGTCCACAGCGCCGCTACCACCTCGCCAGCTGCTCCCTCCTCCTCGACCACGACGTGAACATCTGGAACCTCCACCGGCCCTACATCCCCTTTGCCTCCTTCGACGAACATAAAGACGTCACCACAGGTAAACCAGCAGCCATCAGTGTTGAGATGCAATGATAGCAGAGAGAAACTGTCTGCATGCAGAATACTACAGACTTTATTTGTTCTGCCCCCTTATACAGCTGAATATGCAGTCACTTCAGCTACCTGAATTCTGCTTGTTCTCTCATCTTTTAGATTACTGCTCGGGGGTAATCTACCAATGAAAACTGACAGACTGCAATAAGGCTGGGATGAGTCCACATTTACTATCCGGGTACCCATACCCCTATTACCCGAGCCTACCCGGGTACCCGCTGTGGGCCTCAAGAGATAACTACAAATTGTCAGATTGGGAATAGTTTTACCGTACCCCATCTTCCCAAGGCAAGGGAGTTAACTGACTTTAAAAGTCCAGTTTCCACCCTTGCCAAACTAGGCTGGAATTCCTGGGCTCGATCGTTGCGCCACCAGTGGCTGTTACGAGTTAAATCCCTTCTATGCCTCTCCTATGGACCAATCAGATTCCACCTCTCGTATCACTTGCATTTGCGCCCAATCAAGAGGATCTGATGGACAATCAAGATCAATATGTGAGAAAACGGGTCTTACATCGCGAACTGCATCAAATCACGTGAGCACCTTCATTAAAAACTTGAAAAGATTTGGAAAATATCTGTTGACAACGAGTTGGCGGTGCACATGCTGTGCAAATCCTGCAATCAACCGAAATCTGCATGACAGTTTACGAACCGGATTTAGATTTCGTTGCACCATTTTGATTGGACTATGCATAGACCTGTTAGTCCAGCCAAAATCTAACTCCATAATACCAGCCTAGTTCGGCAAGGGTGGAAACTGGACTTTTATAGTCAGTTAACTCTCTTGCCTTGGGAAGATGACCGTACCCCTGCAAAATGTATTTAGACACACATATTAAACGATCTGGTCATGCATACACTGAAGTTGACTGAATTTTTATCTTTATTCAAACATACGAAAGTCAGAAGGAATGTGTGCACACCGGTAGTCAGAAAGAAATGCGAACATTAGTGACTTGTAGTGTCACCATAGAGTTTAAGATAAGTTTTGTCTTTAAACAAAATATCACCTGACTAAACACGGGTCCGGGTAGTCCTGTGGGTACCCAGGTCCTACTCAGTACCAAACCGACCCGAGTACCCAAGTTACTTGTCCCAACCCCAGACTGCAATACAAGACTACCTATGTCTACAATACACAGGGAATCTGTAACAAAAGACAATGAGAATGTACCCAATAACTAAGAGCATGATTTTTAATTTATATTTTACAGGGCTAATATAGAATATTCTTGATGTGTATAATCATATCAGCACTTAAGATGTCGATGAACTTGCTGTTTGTTGATCCTTATCGAAGGTTAAGTCCTTGTTCTGCACCTGCCTAGTTTGGAAGGTTTTAGACTGTGCGTTTTAGCGCTGCCATTTCCAGGTTTTGGCAGGAAGCGCTCAGATTTATATTGATGTTTCTTAGTTTTTGGTACTATCTCATTGTTTTATGTTGCTAGTTCCTTGTGTAGACATATAGCAGTTATCGCAGTCTGTCAGTTTTCACTGCTATGGGTGTTATGATTGATTTAATTGTTGATACATGGCAGTTGGCCATTGTCTGAATACAATACATCCGTGACGAGTCAGATTATCATCAGTGAACACAGATTCCCTACTGTTACACATATGGTGTCGATAGACATTAAATGAAAAAGTACTCGCCATTTCATTTTCTACTGATATTCATGTTGATACAAAATGCACCTTGCTTGTAGAGATGTGGTTATCTATTGATTAAAACATACATCTTTGTCTTTGTGTGTCCTGGTGTAAGGGGGGCGGTCCGTGTACCAGGTATTGTATGATGTGATGACAGTCTCTGTTCCGTGTACTAGGTATTGTATGACGTGATGACAGTCTCTGTTCCGTGTACAAGGTATTGTATGACGTGATGACAATCTCTGTTCTGTGTACCGGGTATTGTATGACGTGATGACAGTCTCTGTTCTCTGTACCAGGTATTGTATGAAATGACGACAGTCTCTGTTCTCTGTACCAGGTATTGTATGACGTGATGACAGTCTCTGTTCTCTGTTCTCTGTACCAGGTATTGTGTGACATGATGACAGTCTCTGTTTAGTGTACCAGGTATTGTATGATGTGATGACAATCTCTGTTACGTGTACTAGGTATTGTATGTCCTGGTGTGACAATCTCTGTTCCGTGTACTAGGTATTGTATGACGTGATGACAGTCTCTGTTCCGTGTACAAGGTATTGTATGACGTGATGACAATCTCTGTTCTGTGTACCGGGTATTGTATGACGTGATGACAGTCTCTGTTCTCTGTACCAGGTATTGTATAAAAAATGACGACAGTCTCTGTTCTCTGTACCAGGTATTGTATGACGTGATGACAGTCTCTGTTCTCTGTTCTCTGTACCAGGTATTGTGTGACGTGATGACAGTCTCTGTTTAGTGTACCAGGTATTGTATGATGTGATGACAATCTCTGTTACGTGTACTAGGTATTGTATGTCCTGGTGTGACAATCTCTGTTCCGTGTACTAGGTATTGTATGACGTGATGACAGTCTCTGTTCTCTGTACCAGGTATTGTATGACGTGATGACAGTCTCTGTTCTCTGTACCAGGTATTGTGTGGCGTGACGACAACCACTTCTTCCTCAGCTGTAGCAAGGACGGCCATGTTATACAGCACATGTTCAAGGACGCCAAGCGGCCTGCTGACAATGTGGTTCCGTCTGGGATCGACATCAACATCACCGGGGAGATCTCTCATGCTTACTACGACAAACCCGAATCCAGTGGTGAGTTGATACCGAGCCTGAGACAGTCACACATACACCTGGAAAATAGTTAAGCACCATACTTATAAATTTTACCTTATCCTCATACTAATTTGCTTGTCTCTTGTTATTCCCAAAACATAGTGGGATCTTCTTGTGCAGTGTTCCCAGTGAACAGATAACATCTCACCCAAACACACCCCTCTTAAAAACAGGCGCACCGGAACCTCGTAACCAACTATCCTGACTTATCAGTCTTTATTTACGCGCCAGCTTGCTGGTTGGAAATTATTTTCCTGTTCTCATGTCCAAACCATCCTCATCAAAATGGCGCTCCCCAATTAAGTTTCACCTTTTTAAGATTACCTTTTTTAATCGCCCCTTCATCTTATTTAACAATTTGTTTGTTTTTTATTTTGGCAAGAGATTTTTCCTTTTTTGGCTCTTTGCAATTCTGCCCTGAAAACATGTTCTACAAGTTTGCTGTGTATCTGTGATCGTGATCCCCACCCCATTTGATCTACTTGCACTACACACCACCGTACTGCAGAACACAAAGACGAATTCTGCTCCTCCCTGGATGAAGAATTTGCAGAATATATCCTCGCCAGAGCTTGATAGCCAACACCCATTTGTCTGACCTTTATAAGAATCCTCTTCTACATCTGACGTGGGATTCTTCTTCCATCTTTGATGACCACATCCGCAGCATCAATAAGGTAGGGTCCAAGACTCTAAGGACCAGATGCTCATCAAATCAAAACTTTGTTGACAATCTGCGCAGAAGACTCAATTCAAGAGCTGCTTCTCTGGTATCCAAAAAGCAAAGGACAAGCACTCCACTGGTTGTCAAGGAGGCAAAACCACAGCCTTTCGAAGACCTCAGGAAGTCCATGTGGTCAGTCCAGCCTAGGTCAGGGATCCAGGGGATCCCACACCTATCGTTGAAGGGGAGCTGTTGAAGGGGAGCTGTTGAAGGGGAGCTGTTGAACGACAGGGACCTTCCACTCTCCAGCTGTTCAAGTACAGCCATCTCCCGTAGGTGGAGGACTGGCAAGATATTAGAGAAATTGGGACGACCTGTTCGTATCGAACATTCCAGAAAGGGCTACAATCCAGTTGTTTGTGAGTAATCACCTCTGTCTCTCAATCCACACATTGTTCACTGACACTGCAATCCATGCTGACAGCCGCGATCGGCATACTTCTTTCGATGTGAACAGTAGAGATAGTACTATCCATCGTCCTAACTCCAGATTTTTGATTCACCGATTTTCTAAGTCCCCAAAATCTACAACCTGAAAGAATTCAACAAAAAGTATCTCCAAAAACCAGTACAAAAGTTCAGAATGATCCCCCTACCACAGCTAAAACAAATGATAAAAAAGGACAATTATCTTGGAAACATCGATCTTCAAGTTGCTAACCTTCACTTCCCCATTCGTCCAGCCTCCAGGAAATATCTGTATATCCTATACAAAGGTCAACATTACCAATGGACAGTCCTGCCCTTTGGAATTTCAATGGCCTGTGGTTATTTACACGTGTGACCAAACCATTTTCATGGCCGTTCTGCACAACAAGGGGATCTGTTGCGCTTTCTACTTGGACGACGGATTCAAGCTCATCAACATGTAGAGTTACTCAGACTCCAGCTGAATTTTACTCTGAAACTACTGACACAGTTAGGATGGTTTGGCAATAAGGATGCGGAGTATTACCGGTATATCAGAAAATTGAGGTTCATTCTTTCCATGAAATGTATCACAATATCATTGGTTAACGTTATGCACTTGTGAAATACCTAGAAATGTTTCTGTAATTCCAAACTGCAGGTTTGCAAAGATAGAGATTAACTCTCAGTTCCACGCATCATTTTGTACACTTCAGTTAACAACACCCAGGGCACTCGGTTGTACGACGCCACATGCCGTCATCAAAGCCCGGTACGAGGGCTAGCGATACGGTCACTTGGATGCAGAAAGATTAGATATTGTTGTGTTCCTCACTTTTACCGTAAGATATCTATTTGATTATGCAAAACAATATGTAAAGCACACTGAAAGTCTTGCTTTTGGCCAGTCAGCCCTGTTCACAACTGAAAAAAGTCCAGTCATGTGAAGTCTGTAGCAGCGGTGTTATACCAAGTCATCACACTCCCAGACGTGCATCCGTCCGTTTTTATTGAATGAGCAAATATTATGTTGTACCAGAATCTTATTTTGTTCCATTTGCGAACTTCAATTTGTTCATTCATGTTTCACATTGCTCCTGAATTCAAAATTTAGAATTATACAATAACGTGAAAAGTATTGCAGTACAGTCTTGTGCATTACAAAATATTATGAGCCTCCAATACCCATCCCTATTGGTCAATTATCAGAAGTCCAACCCCAGACCGTCCCAAGATCTCAAGTTCTTGAGATCAGTTCCATCTTAACTATGACTAACGGAGAAAAACTCGCTAAGGTTCTCAAACTGATAGCCCTTCTGGGATCCTCCAAAGTTGAGGTTCAACAGAAACAGTTGAGCCCCAGCTTGGGATTTATAGGTAGTATTGCAACATCTTACCAGTGATGTTTACTAACCACAAGAAGAGTCTGACTTCGAACGTCTGACACAAAGGACCTTGTTTCTCACTAGCTACAGCAGCAGATACATGTGCTCCACTTCAGTCGTACTAGGTTTGACAGCAGTCAACACACATCGGCCCATCTGGGTTTGAGATGGGGTTTCATCGTGAAGAATGAGTTACCTGGACAACCAGAGAGATAGTTTCATGTCCTAACACTTTCACCCATTCTAGGATCTGAAGACATCGAAGATTCGTCCCTTTGCCCAGTTATAGTCCTGTGCATCTATCTTTAAAAGACGAGCTCTAGAAGACGATGACTACGAAGACCAGTAACGAGAAACGAGAAATGCTTCCTCCGAAGTTTCCAGAACAACGATCTCCTTCTGGATGAGAGCAGTCATCCTAAGAGACTACAGGGCAGTAGTTCTGGACCCACCTAAAGCATCCAACCCACATGAAGTCAGAGCGAGAACATCAACTCTAGCCCTGCATGGGAACCGCTCTATTCTGGAAGGATGCTTCTGGAGATCAGATTCCGACTTTGCGAATCAGTACCTCAGAGACGTCGCCACCGAAGATTTTGCTGGCATACACCAATTCTGACCATTGGTAGTAGCACAGCATCTACTAAATCCACAAATCATATGATTGCTCCTTTTTCTCCAAAGTCATTGAAGAACAAGAGAGGCTAGAAGATATCTACAGAACAGTTGCTACAGAACAGACAATGTCCAGAATCACACATCCAGGCGAGATCCGCCACCAGCTCTGAGATTCAAGCACCTAAGGCTAAAAAAAACCATAATATTGGTTCTCAGGCACCGCATCATCAGTAAGCCTACCGCATGTTTCGTTTTTACTTCCATTTTCAAAACAATTTAAAAAATCCTAATCCGAAAACAATGCGATCCAATATAGCACACAGTTACTTCCAATCACATCTGCACTGCTATACTGCGCATCTCGTGTTATGGTCATGGCAGCAATAGGAGTTTTTATGATTGATTATGTTGGGAGGCTCTTTCCCAGGTTGATGGTACACAACTGTTTATTTGGTTACATACTAGTTTGAACAAGCAAAAACACAACCCGCCCCCACTTTTTTCAAAAGTCATTGCCTGAGAACCAATTTTGTTTTGTTTTTAAGCCTTAGTATGAGGCAGGATAAGGTAAAATATGAATTGTTTATGATACAAATATCATTTAAACTTATCCTGACTCATACGCTGAAGCATCGACCCAGCTGTCCATCCTCTCTTAGATGTGTTTTTGACCTAAGAAAATAATAGAGAAAATAAGGAGTGATGAGTCCGACTGGTCGGCCTTGTGTTTCTGGTGCACCTGCATGTGAGAGGGGTGTGTTTGGGTGAGATGTTTTCTGTTCACTGGGAACACTGCACCAGAAGTTTCCACTAAGTTTCAGGAATAAGAAGAGATAAGAAAATTAGTATGAATCAGGATAAGTACAAATTACATTTTTATCATAAAAAATTCCTTTTTTGTTATTTTGAAATATCTACATATGAACTGATATTGATTTCATTTTGATGAATGTCAAAGGACTCCCCATAAATTCATACACCTGGTGCAAGAACACTGTGTGTTTTTTCCTGTAATAGGACCCTTGAAGATCCGGGGTAGAGTTGGTCTTCAGCAACCCATGCTTGCCGTAACAGGCGACTATGCTTGTCATAAGAGGCCACTAACAGGATCGGGCGATCAGGCTCGCTGACTTGATGCATGTCATCGTATCCCAATTGCGTGGATCAATGCTCATGTTGTCAAACACTGGATTGTCTGGTCCAAACTCAATTATTTACAGACCGCCATCATATAGCTGAAATATTGCTGAGTGCGGCTTTAAACAACAAACAAACAAACAAAACTTCCTGTAATAGGCAACTAACTCTATCTGTCTGTCTGTCTGTATATGTATGTATCCATCTATCTCGCCCCAAGTAATTACACCAAATTAATTTGAAAACTGCACATGATCTATCAACTCAGTGTCCGAAAAAACTGCTTGCCTGCCTGTCCATGGCATGTAATATCTCTGTTGGGCTGCATGAAATTTACCTCCAACTGACCAACTGTCTGGCAGATAATTTTAAGACTACCTATATATTCTGGGGTTTTTTTATATCTTGTAGAATTTAAGTACCGTTATTTATTAACATTATTTCAACTGAATCATTTCAACTGATGTGAATCGTCTCATAGGTTTTGCGATTTTTTTTCAATATTTATTAGATCTATGTCTGAATGTGGCCAGGTAACTTTGAAGATGGCCAGGCAACACTTATGGGTCACCGGCCCGACTGGGTTTAAAATTATTTCTAACTCTGTATCAATTAGGTTAAATCATTTGCAACAGTCCCCTGGTGCCTCCAAGGTGTATTCACGCCACTATGCATGCTAGCGTTTCTTCATTGTGTGCGCAGCCAAGTCAGGACAGACCACACGCCTGTTCTTCCGCAAACAGCCTGACCGCAGTGAACAGTTCACCCAGATCAGCAGCCACATGTTCCTGTTCTCGGCAGAGGAAGTAAGTGCACAGTCGGCAGTTACGATTCACTCGTGTATACGTTGAATCGAAACGTATACGTTGAATCGAAACGTATCCATTCATGAATTGAATTCGTTATTCAGGGCCACTAGAATTGAATATTTATGAATATGCAATCATGTGCATTTACATGCCCTGTATTTTAAAATATCCACAAGAACATATTATATGCATAGATTTCTTCAAAGACAACACTCTTATAATATTTAATTTAACAGTATTATGGTCACTGGTCATTGTCGCATTTGAGCAGATACAAGAAGCTGGTAGCTGGATTAGTGCAGTGTATAAATGTATAATATATTAATAATTAACAAACAAATTTATGTTATTTTTATCACTGATTATAACAAATAATAAATCAACTGCTGACTTGTTATTGTATTCATGATTTAATATTCGTATTCGTTACCCTATAATCGTGATACGAGTTCTATTCGCTTCATAGTTTATTTGTTGCAGCCCTAGTGCACAGTCACGTCATTGTTCAAATCTTAACCCTAAAGTGGTAATTTGTCTTATCACACTAAACATTTATACATTGTGTAGTTTCTGTCTGTGCCAAAAGCTTCAGAGATCTCTAGCCCGAACATGGCTCTTTGCATCATTTTCTACGTACCAGATACTTATCAAGATATGTATTCATATGCTGCAGGGTAAACTCCAGAAGATTTTTGGGACCCAATCCCACTTGAAGTTTATCAACCAATCAGATTGCAGCACACACATCCATGCATGTTACAGTGTTTTTTTATCAGGTCTATTTTTCCAGTGTCTGTCCATGAGGTGGTTTGTCCAGGCAGCCCTAGGGTATCGTGTGACCGGAGGGTCTGTCACAGAACTCTGTGACTGGAACATGAAGGTGGCCAGGTCCATCGGACTCAGCAGTGTGAGTCTCCTGGGTGTTCGGTGTCTGTGTGTGTCTGTGTATGTCTGTCTGTGTCTGTCTGTCTGTCTGTCTATGTTTGTGTCTGTCTGTGTGTGTCTGTCTGTGAGTGTCTGTCAGTCTTTGTGTGTGTGTCTATCTGTGTGTGTGTGTGTCTGTCTGTGTGTCTGTGTAAGTCTGTCTGTGTCTGTCTGTCTGTCTATGTTTGTGTCTGTGTATGTTTGTGTCTGTGTGTGTGTCTGTCTGTCTGTGTGTTTGTGTCTGTCTGTGTGTGTGTGTCTGTCTGTGTGTCTGTCTGTGTATGTCTGTCTGTGTATGTCTGTCTGTCTGTCTGTGTGTGTCTGTCTGTGTGTGTCTCTCTCTCTCTGTGTCTGTCAGTCTTTGTGTATGTGTCTGTCTCTCTGTGTGTGTGTCTGTGTGTCTGTCTGTGTGTGTGTGTGTCTGTCTGTCCCTGTGTGTGTCTGTCAGTCTTTGTGTGTGTTTGTCTCTCTGTGTGTTTGTGTCTGTGTGTGTGTCTGCGTGTGTGTGTCTGTCATGTTAATGGATATCTTTTTTGTGTGTCTGTCTGTGTCTGTGTGTGTCTGTGTATGTCTGTCTGTGTCTGTCTGTCTGTCTGTCTGACTATGTTTGTGTCTGTGTATGTGTGTCTGCCTGTGTGTGTCTGTCAGTCTTTGTGTGTGTGTCTGTCTCTGTGTGTTTGTGTCTGTGTGTGTGTGTCTGTCTGTGTGTTCGTCTGTCTGTGTGTGTATGTCTGTCTGTCTGTGTATGTCTGTCTGTGTCTGTGTGTCTGTCTGTCTCTGTGTGTGTCTGTCTGTTTATGTCTGTCTGTGTGTGGGGCGGTCGGGTAGCCTAGTGGTTAAAGCGTTCGCTCGTCACGCCGAAGACCCGGGTTCGATTCCCGACATGGGTACAATGTGTGAAGCCCATTTCTGGTGACCCCCGCCGTGATATTGCTGGAATATTGCTAAAAGCAGCGTAAAACCAAACTCACTCACTCACTCACTGTCTGTGTGTGTGTCTGTCTCTGTTTGTGTCTGTGTGTGTGTGTCTGTCTGTGTGTGTATGTCTGTCTGTGTATGTCTGTCTGTGTCTGTGTGTCTGTCTGTCTGTTTGTGTCTGTCTCTGTGTGTGTCTGTCTGTGTATGTCTGTCTGTGTGTGTCTGTCTCTGTGTGTGTCTGTCAGTCTTTGTGTGTGTGTCTGTCTCTCTGTATGTTTGTGTCTGTGTGTGTGTCTGTCTCTCTGTGTGTGTCTGTCTGTGTGTGTGTCTGTCTGTCAGTCTTTATGTGTGTGTCTGTCTGTGTGTGTGTCTGTCTGTGTATGTCTGTCTGTGTGTGTGTCTGTTTGTGTGTCTGTCAGTCTTTGTGTGTGTGTCTGTCTCTCTGTGTGTTTGTGTGTCTGTCTGTGTGTGTGTCTGTCTGTGTATGTCTGTCTCTCTGTGTGTCTGTCAGTCTTTGTGTGTGTGTGTCTCTCTGTGTGTTTGTGTCTGTGTGTGTGTGTGTCTGTCTGTCTCTGTGTGTGTCTGTCAGTCTTTGTGTGTGTGTCTCTCAGTCTTTGTGTGTGTGTCTGTCAGTCTTTGTGTGTGTGTCTGTCTCTCTGTGTGTTTGTGTCTGTGTGTGCGTGTCTGCGTGTGTGTGTCTGTCTGTGTATGTCTGTCTGTGTGTCTGTCAGTCTTTGTGTGTGTGTCTGTCTGTGTGTGTCTGTCAGTCTTTGTGTGTGTGTCTGTCTCTCTGTGTGTTTGTGTCTGTGTGTGTCTGTCTGTGTGTGTGTCTGTCTGTGTGTGTGTCTGTCTGTGTATGTCTGTCTCTCTGTGTCTGTCAGTCTTTGTGTATGTGTGTGTCTCTCTGTGTGTTTGTGTGTGTGTGTCTGTCTGTGTGTGTGTGTGTGTGTGTCTGTCTGTCTGTCTGTCTCTGTGTGTGTCTGTCAGTCTTTGTGTGTGTGTCTGTCTCTGTGTGTTTGTGTCTGTGTGTGTGTGTCTGCGTGTGTCTGTCTGTGTGTCTGTCAGTCTTTGTGTGTGTGTCTGTCTGTGTGTGTGTCTGTCTGTCTGTGTGTGTGTCTGTCTGTGTGTGTCTGTCAGTCTTTGTGTGTGTGTCTGTCTCTCTGTGTGTTTGTGTCTGTGTGTGTGTGTCTGTCTGTGTGTGTGTCTGTCTGTGTATGTCTGTCTCTCTGTGTCTGTCAGTCTTTGTGTGTGTGTGTCTCTCTGTGTGTCTGTCTGTGTGAGTGTGTCTGTCTGTCTGTCTCTGTGTGTGTCTGTCAGTCTTTGTGTGTGTCTGTCTCTCTGTGTGTTTGTGTCTGTCTGTCTGTCTGTCTGTCAGTCTTTGTGTGTGTGTGTGTCTCTGTGTGTTTGTGTCTGTGTGTCTGTCTGTGTGAGTGTGTGTCTGTCTGTCTGTCTCTGTTTGTGTCTGTCAGTCTTTGTGTGTGTGTGTGTCTCTCTGTGTGTTTGTGTCTGTCTGTCTCTGTGTGTGTCTGTCAGTCTTTGTGTGTGTGTCTGTCTCTCTGTGTGTTTGTGTCTGTGTGTGTGTGTCTGTCTGTCTGTCTGTCTCTCTGTGTGTCTGTCAGTCTTTGTGTGTGTGTGTGTCTCTCTGTGTTTGTGTCTGTGTGTCTGTCTGTGTGTGTGTGTGTGTCTGTGTGTCTGTCTCTGTCAGTCTTTGTGTGTGTGTTTGTCTCTGTGTGTGTTTGTGTCTCTGTGTGTGTGTCTGTGTGTGTGTGTCTGTCTCTCTGTGTGTGTGTGTCTGTCTCTGTGTGTCTGTATCTCTGTGTGTTTGTGTCTGTGTGTGTGTGTCTGCGTGTGTGTGTCTGTCATGTTAATGGATATCTTTTTTCAGGGTAAACCAGCTCACATCCCTGATACTATGTTTACGACACGGGTGTCTTAATTCTGGTATTTCCCGAGCGAGAGTTTAGGCACGAGTGTCATAAACATAGTATGACATGAACATGAATATAATGTTCTATTTATTACCGAAGAAGATGTCTACATACAGAGACAAATTTAGTGTTTACCTATAAGGACAGCAAGTTTTGACAGCAGCGGAACCATAATTTGATGAATAACATCAATAATCTTCAGCTATGAGGTTTCTAGTGTGACTTCATTCCGACCTCACGTCACAATAAGATTCGAATGACGTCAACAATGCCGTCTGGATGACGGAAACAATACACTGTTGTCTCGTGACATGATATGACTCTAGGGCACATATGATTTTTATGAACCCTGATATTTTTTCCCTCATAGGTATACATTTCTAATTAACAAGAGGTGAGATGTGGGGCCACTTTTTATGCATTTACACAACGGGTATTCACTGCAGTAGAGTTGATGTGTGTGTAATGCCTGCACTTGATCAGTACTTAAAGATGTGTGAAGAATTACAGAAAGGGATACATTCTTTCGTTACATAGTGTGTTGTTATACTATTTGGTTTTTAAAATTTTCAGAAGTATTGTACACAAAAAAGTAAAAAATTATTGGGTAATGGTGATTTATTTTACAAAAACACTGAAATTAGAAATACATTTCAATGCAACATTAAGATCAACTCACTGTGGAAGTGTAGTCAGTTATGAATGACCACGCATTCCAGAGTAGCAGAGGAAAGGCTCTTAAAATGTTTGATGTATTTTTTATATGTACCGTCAATAACGGTATATTATCAGCACTGAAAATCAAAGATTGCTCAGGTGATGTAACGACCCACTTGTCCTCTGCCTGCCCTACAGGTGGTCCAGATGTGGGGGATGCTCAAGGTGATGTTCGGGGCAGCCACGCAGAGCATCATTCACGTGGCAAAGCTGGTGCAGAGCTCTGGAGATAAACAGGACACAGAAAAAGGTTGGTCACAGTGAAGATTAGAGTTGAAATTGTTCTTCAACAACTCATTCTTTTCGAAACGGGATCAGAAGGCCATGTTTGCTAACATGGGGGATGCATGTTATTGTATCACAATTGCGTAGATCGATGCTTGTGATGTCAATCCCTGAATTGTCTGGTCCAGACTCAATTATTTACCTGATGCCATCATATAGCTGGACTATATGACACATTAAGGTTTGTGGTGTACAGTGGTGTCATGGCTACAGGCTGTTCCTGTCTTCCTTCTGTAGATACTATTACGTACATCATGGACTTAGTTAAGATAGGAGACTGTCTCCGTGGTTTAGTGGTAGAGTGTCAGCCCGAGGAGCGGAAGGTCGGGGTTTTTTAACCCCAGCTGCATCAGACGATAAAAGATGGTACATGTTGTTACCCAGCCTGGCGCTCAGCATTAAAGGGCTAAAACAAGGATTTATCGGCTCTCAATGGGCTAACACTATAAAATCGGCATTAGTCCGGGCTAGTACAAGCAGCCACACGCGCCTACACACACAAATGTGCATGCACATCACTAAATGAGTGTAATAATCTTGAACGCGACGTTAACCGAGTACACCATTTCACTCTCAACCAGTGATTCTCACAAAGTACATATAATGATCCCATTGTTACTACAGAACTCGGACTCATTAATATTAATAATGACTACATTGTAAAAGATTCCGGTGTATTTCATTGGCTAACCAAGCAATTCATTTTGAGTTTGTTTCCATAAGCAAAAAAAAGATGGAACACGCCCAATAACAGACTGCTTATCCTTGATTGGTTGACAATAAAATAGGCGGGGCTTGTGTTGTATTATTCTTTGGAACAATGTCGCTGATTTCGTATTGTTGTTCACAGTTGTTAGTGTTAAAGATTATATAAGCAGCCTGTTCGAAAACATTGTTGAAAATTCATATTTTATGTTATGTCTGTTGTTCCATCTCTTGAACATGGTGCACAGTACCACCCAGTGCTCAGAAAACATTATGGATGACATTTTTAATACATCATTAAGTGATGAATATGTCATCAAGTTTGAAAACTGCCTTCAAGAAATAATACTGTACAGAGTTATGGCCCTTGAAAATATTCGGGTGTTTGCTCAAATGAGGGTAGGGTTCATATCAAGAGCACAACAAAATGTTTCACAGGGTCCTACCTCGACAGAAGTGGAAGTCCGGGGGACCCCCAATAATAATTTTAAGGGTCCTTGCAGGCAATGTAAGGGTCCTATGAAAGTAATGAAATGGTGTTCTGTATGTTTAGATAATTTCTGTAGAGCCTGTCATGAATCAGTGATTATCTGGACTGTGGTCATGATTGATGGATGAAATAACAGACACCCATAACTGCTCTCGTTGCACTGTAGGTACAATGACAATTATTGTGCGTTGGTAGGGAGGCAGTTTGTTCTGTGTCCATTCCCTACATTTGTGGGTACTGGATGCACTTTTCTGCATCGCGTAAAACCCTGGTGTCAGATATCACTGTGTAATTTTGCTATCCCTCTTGCCTCTTACCTCCAAATCTCCCCCCCCCCCCTCGCAACAAACACACACACACCCTTCTTTTTGGCTCAGTCCTTGATGGGTCAACATGGCTTCAACTGTAGTGCTGCGTCATTAATGCATTAACAGAATCTGTACTCATGTTTGGGGGGCTATTATTGATTATTGTGTTTTGTGTTTGCAATCACATTTATGGTAACAGTTTGATCTGTTGTTTAATGAAATGGGGGTGGGGGAGATTAAGCTTTTTTGAGTAAAAGCACTTTCTAGTTTACATATGAAGTGCTCAACTTGTGCCTTAGATGTTCTCAATGTCTTTTTGATTTTTTATCTTTTGATTTTTCAAGGCAACCAGTTCAAATGAGGATAGGGTTTGTTTCTGGTGTCAAACCTTTCAGTATTTCACCATGAACATTTTTAAATGTATTAGGCTAGTTAGTAACAAGTAGTTAGGCTTGTTGCCTCTCGTTTGGTAGGTATACAAGGTACAAGGGGCAGGGTGTATTGATGGTTCTGTTGCTTTCCTTCAAGGTTCCTTGAAGCAGATTGGTGCAAGTAAACCCTTGGCTAAGAGCAATAGCGAAAAGATTGGAGACTCAGACATTGAGAAGACAGCAACCGAGATGACATCCGGCAACAGCGATGACTCCTCAGACTCAGAGAGTTCGGAACCACGGGAAATGACCGACATAGCTAGCGGGCTGGCCAGCAAACACACCGGGGATTTCTTCTTCGGGGATGGAGAGCAGGATGTCCTTGGATTCAGCATCGACTACGTGTCTCGCCTCGAGAAACCAGAGGTAAGTTTGTTTGTTTGTTAAAACAACTGAATATTTCTTGTTAATATTGCTGTACAGATGAATCCAGTGGTAGACTGGTGCCTTTTGATGATTTGGTATTTTTTATTTTTTTTATGTTTTCATGATGAAAAGGACTTTATTGAAAATGAAAATGAGGGTAGTTTACTTTCCGGAGCAGAACTCAAAACCATTGAATATTTCATGATGAAACTGGAAACTTGCTATACAGATCAGTCAAGTGGTGAACTGGTGCCTTTTGATGATTTGGGCTATTGAAAAATACTGAATAGCATTTTTTTTCTTCACTGAACTGAACCAAAAGTAGAGTATAAGTAGCTAAACTCCATTCCTGAACTGCACCAGATCGGGGGATATGTCATCTCCTGATGACTCTTGTTTGTTTGTTGTTTAACGCCGCATTCAGCAGTATTCAAGCTATCGATGCTCATGGATATTAATTACGGGATTGTCTGGTCTAGACTCGATTATTTACAGACCGCCGTCATATAGCTGGAATATTGCTGAGTGCGGCGTTAAACAACAAACCAACCAACCAACTTGATATGAATCCAAAATTCACCCAAATAACGATAGTTTATCATAACCATACCTGCATTGTTGGTCATTTATGGTTGCCACGTCTTGATATTACTAAAATACTTTTCAAAGCAACATAACAAAAATCTCTCCGCTCTCTCATTTCCAGAAGGACTGGACTCTTCCTAGTGAGGCATTCCAACCACGTCATGAGATCTCTGATGTTACTAAAATACTTTTCAAAGCAACATAACAAAAATCTCTCCGCTCTCTCATTTCCAGAAGGACTGGACTCTTCCTAGTGAGGCATTCCAACCACGTCATGAGATCTCTGACCGCACGACCCCTCCAGAACAGATGGAGAGCAGACATGACAGTTTAATTAGCTCAGGAAATGCCACAGACATCATCACACGTACCGTGCCTTCGGAGTCTGAGGAGCAAGACTTCCTCCTCTCTGTGTCCAAGATTCCAAATATGTCTGCTCTGAATGCAAAGAACGATGTTGCTCAACTTCTCAGAGACTTTGCAGAGCAGGTTGGTCAAATGATTGTCTGTCAATATTTGGTCAGTGATCAACTGTCACAATTGGGTCAGGGGTCAACTGTCTCTATTGGGTCAGTGGTCAACTGTCTCTATTGGGTCAGTGGTCAACTGTCACGTGGGTCAGGGGTCAACTGTCACATGGGTCAGGGGTAAACTGTCACATGGGTCAGGGGTAAACTGTCACAATTGGGTCAGGGGTCAACTGTCTCTATTGGGTCAGTGGTCAACTGTCTCTATTGGGTCAGTGGTCAACTGTCACGTGGGTCAGGGGTAAACTGTCTCTATTGGGTCAGGGGTCAACTGTCACATGGGTCAGTGGTCAACTGTCTCTATTGGGTTAGGGGTCAACTGTCTCTATTGGGTCAGTGGTCAACTGTCACATGGGTCAGTGGTCAACTTTCACATGGGTAAGGCTCAACTGCCACATGGGTCAGGGGTCAACTGTCACATGGGTCAGGGGTCAACTGTCTCTATTGGGTCAGTTGTCAACTTCCTCTATTGGGTCAGGGGTCAACTGTCACATGGGTCAGTGGTCAACTGTCACATAGGTCAGGGGTCAACTGTCTCTATTGGGCTAGTTGTCAACTTCCTCTATTGGGTCAGGGGTCAACTGTCACATGGGTCAGTGGTCAACTGTCACATGGGTCAGGGGTCAACTGTCTCTATTGGGCTAGTTGTCAACTTCCTCTATTGGGTCAGGGGTCAACTGTCACATGGGTCAGTTGTCAACTGTCTCTATTGGGTCAGTGGTCAACTGTCACATGGGTCAGGGGTCAACTGTCTCTATTGGGTTAGTGGTCAACTGGTCAAATGATTGTCTGTCAATATTTGGTCAGTGGTCAACTGTCACATGGGTCAGTTGTCAACTGTCTCTATTGGGTCAGTGGTCAACTGTCACATGGGTCAGGGGTCAACCGTCTCTATTGGGTCAGTGGTCAACTGTCACATGGGTCAGGGGTCAACTGTCTCTATTGGGTTAGTGGTCAACTGGTCAAATGATTGTCTGTCAATATTTGGTCAGTGGTCAACTGTCACATGGGTCAGTTGTCAACTGTCTCTATTGGGTCAGTGGTCAACTGTCACATGGGTCAGGGGTCAACTGTCTCTATTGGGTCAGTGGTCAACTGTCACATGGGTCAGGGGTAAACTGTCACATGGGTCAGGGGTAAACTGTCACAATTGGGTCAGGGGTCAACTGTCACATGGGTCAGGGGTCAACTGTCTCTATTGGGTCAGTGGTCAACTGTCACATGGGTCAGGGGTCAACTGTCACATGGGTCAGGGGTAAACTGTCACAATTGGGTCAGGGGTCAACTGTCACATGGGTCAGGGGTCAACTGTCTCTATTGGGTCAGTGGTCAACTGTCACATGGGTCAGGGGTCAACTGTCAATATTGGGCTGGGGTCAACTGTCATTTTTGGGTCAATGGTCAACTGTCACATAGAATTGGCTCTGTTTTATCTTATCTGCTTGGCTGACTGTGACCAAAAACAATATTCACTCATATCAAGTCTGTAACTATGTTCAGGGTGATGTGCAGACTCCGGTGTCTGTTCTGTTGGTCCTGGGAGACAGAGTGACATCCATCATAGATGAACAAACTCAGGAAAACTGGTTCCATTGTTATATAGGTAAGATCCCATTGTTACATAGGTGATTTCTCATTGTTATATGGTTGAATTCGCATTGTTATATAGGTGAGTTCCCATTGTTATACAGGTGCGTTCCCGTTGTTATATAGTTAAGATCCCATTCCCAAAGGCGAATTCCCATTCTTATATAGTTGAATTCCCATTGTTACATAGGTGAGTTCCCATTGTTACGTAGGTGAATTCCCATTGTTACGTAGGTGAGTTCCCATTGTTATATAGGTAAGTTCCCATTGTTTTATAGGTGAGTTCCCATTGTTATATAGGTGAGTTCCCATTGTTAATTGTCACACAATTGCCGGTCATTCAAGTCATCTAAGTTGGAGTGTGTGGTCGGGATTTGTGACTTGGCTGATTGTATATCATCAGAGCTCTAGATAAGCTTTTGGTTGATTAAAGCACAGCTCATCTCGAGTTCTGGTCATCAACCCCAACTGTGTGGGACCTTGTACATTCTTCCAGTCAATGGTTTGCCTGGCCCAGACTCAAACACACAAACAAGCAACAGCATAGATTCATTCCCATTGTTTCTATGTTAAAGTATAACCAGTACCTTAAAAATGAGTCACCAAAATTGGTCCCAGTATTGTTTATATTGAGAATATTATAACAGAGGATTAGAATTTCATTCAGAACCACCCAAAACAGGAAATAAAAGTTTGCAAGAAATTACAAAAGTTATATAAAAAATTGGAAGCAGAGATTGCTGCATTGAATGAGAACCAAGAATGTCTTCAGAGATCCAGATAAGCTGCGTTTCTGTGTAAAATACACATTAGAAATGCAGAAATACGCAGTAAAATAAAATCCAAGCGTATCAAATACGCAACGAACATTACAGATACGCTACAAAAATAAAACTTGTGCATATCATCAAAATATTGTGAAGTAACCCTGCGTATTCTATTAGCAAATCAGCAACTTTTTTTGAAATTATAAACGTGCATTCCGCCAACCTTGCCAAACTCCACGATGACAGTTACATCATGATCATTTGCCATCACACTTTCTTGTGGAAGTGTCGTGGTATGTTTGAGTCCTATAAAGCTCTCGAACCCACATGACACCAGTTTGCATGGACTAGATGAATAGTGTTTTTAAATATTTAACTTAAATACCCACATGTGTAAAAACTAGTGGGTAACAGAAATTTGAGTACCCAGATAGAATTACTGATACCCAATGATTTTAAAATGCATGGGTAAAATACCCACAACACCAAAAGCTTATCTGGAGCTCTGGTCTTTCTGGGCTATAATTCCTGATTCTTTTTTGTAGAAATGCTAGGCAGATATAAACTCTGGTCCAAAGCGAATGAAGTGATCAAGTTAAGCCACCTGCCCGCAGTGAAGTATTTGAACCAGGAGTCCACAACAATTAACAACCTATGTGCCAAGTGTAACCGTGGTCTGCAGAGGAACCGCTGGCTGTGCGAGAGATGCAGACTCGCGGCCAACCTCTGTAGTATATGGTGAGTTGAATACACATTAAATACATTAGATGCTCAGAGTTGCCCTATGGTCCGACCTTGACTGAGAGAGGTGTCAAGTTTGAGATAGTAATAAGATTGAACTGATGAAATGGCTTAGAAGTAACGTCTTTCACCACATAAGATCAGATTTTAATAAGATTGAACTGATGAAATGGCTTAGAAGTAACGTCTTTCACCACATAAGATCAGATTTTAATAAGATTGAACTGATGAAATGGCTTAGAAGTAACATCTTTCACCACAAAAGATCATATTTTAATAAGATTGAACTGATGAAATGGCTTAGAAGTAAAGTCTTTCACTACATAAGATCATATTTTAATAAGATTGAACTGATGAAATGGCTTAGAAGTAAAGTCTTTCACCACATAAGATCAGATTTTAATAAGATTGAAACTGATGAAATGGCTTAGAAGTAACGTCTTTCACCACATAAGATCAGATTTTAATAAGATTGAAACTGATGAAATGGCTTAGAAGTAACGTCTTTCACCACATAAGATCAGATTTTAATAAGATTGAACTGATGAAATGGCTTAGAAGTAACGTCTTTCACCACATAAGATCAGATTTTAATAAGATTGAACTGATGAAATGGCTTAGAAGTAACGTCTTTCACCACATAAGATCAGATTTTAATAAGATTGAACTGATGAAATGGCTTAAGAGTAATGTCTTCCACCACATAGCCGCTATATGCATGTTTGTGTGTTTCAGTCACCACCCAGTGAAAGGCCTGTTTGCCTGGTGCCAGGGCTGCTGCCACGGGGGGCACCTGAAGCACATGAAGCAGTGGCTGGAGACAAGCAAGTACTGCCCCACAGGCTGTGGCCACAGGTGTGAGTACTCCTGACAGGATCAGCAAGCACTTCCCCACAGGCTGTGGCCACAGGTGTGAGTACTCCTGACAGGAGCAGCTAGCACTGCCCCACGGGCTGTGGCAACAGGTGTGAGAACTCCTGACAGGATCAGCAAGTACTGCCCCACGGGCTGTGGCCACAGGTGTGAGAACTCCTGACGGGATCAGCAAGTACTGCCCCACAGGCTGTGGCCACAGGTGTGAGTACTCCTGACAGGATCAGCAAGCACTTCCCCACAGGCTGTGGCCACAGGTGTGAGTACTCCTGACAGGATCAGCAAGTACTGCCCCACAGGCTGTGGCCACAGGTGTGAGTACTCCTGACAGGATCAGCAAGTACTGCCCCACAGGCTGTGGCCACAGGTGTGAGTACTCCTGACAGGATCAGCAAGCACTGCCCCACAGGCTGTGGCCACAGGTGTAAATACTCCTGACAGGATCAGCAAGTACTGCCCCACAGGCTGTGGCCACAGGTGTGAGTACTCCTGACAGGATCAGCAAGCACTGCCCCACAGGCTGTGGCCACAAGGGGCAGCAAGCATTGCAGCACAGGCGTGAATACTTCTTTAAATTTCCTTAACTTGCCTCTCAGGAGTATCCTACAATCTCCCGACAGCAGGAATATAATGCACATATGTGATAGAACCTTCTGAGACAATCCTGACAGGAACCATGAGAATCTTTGACTTCCAGGAGAGTTATGGATATGATCCTGACAGAAGCCGAATGATAAAACATCTGGCAGAACAAGCATCCTCACAACAGGCCGCCCCTCATCAACCCTGACTAGAGAGTAACGTCCAGATGCTTCTGCCAGAAGGCCTTCTCAGCACCTCGGGGGCGGTCGGGTAGCCTAGTGGTTAAAGCGTTCGCTCGTCACGCCGAAGACCCGGGTTCGATTCCCGACATGGGTACAATGTGTGAAGCCCAGTTCTGGTGTCCCCCGCCGTGATATTGCTGGAATATTGCTAAAAGCGGTGTAAAACCATACTCACTCACTCTCAGCACCTCACTACACCACTGATGACAGCGATGACACTGGGAATGTCCTGAACATGGACACGTCAAAGTGTTGTTGATCTCAATGTTATCTCATAGCATGAACTGCATCCATAGAGAAACTCACCGGAGTGTCCTTTGATATAAAATATATCAACACGAGTTCATGAAAGTGGAAAAACTCTGAGGCTCACCCATGAGTGTTGATATATTTTATATCGAAAGACACGAGGGTGAGATTTTATTTATCATCCAATATCATTCTTAAATTGAAATATGCGAAAAGAGAAATCAGTGATACAATGTAGATATTGCTTGATCTCATCCAACCGATATCGCCTGTGGGAACCTGTTTTGAATGATAAATCATGTTAACTCCACTTGGGGTATTTTTGAAACCTCTATACACTAGGTGCAGATGGGTTAGCTTCGTGATCTGAGGACCTGGGTTGAAATCTTGTCAGTTTATACCTGAGACAGTTATACCTAAAACCAACAAGTATGGATTTGGTGTTTATTGAGGATCGGACTGTCTCAGGTAAGGTCTCAGTTCTAAACATTGATTCTGATAAAAACTGAATCCCCCCAAGTTTTGAGATAAATTCCCAATTGTAAAATGGTGGCATGCTCAAAGAGAAGTCCCAGTGCTAGAAGTTTAATGAAAACATCACACAATGTGGAGAGCACCACCTCGCCACGCAAGAAAGGTTTTGATCAAGAACTATTTGTTGCATATTCTACTCAAAACAAGTCAAGGCCACACTTTCTTTTAACTTGCTTTGTGTATCCGCCAACTGTAAATTTTGTTCAAAAGGAAAAAATAATTCTGAATTTTGCTTTCTTTTATCCCGCTGATAAGCTGATAGGATATTGCACTAAAAAGATATTTTCTCAACAAGGACCCACTGAAATTGACGTGTATTATCAGGCGAGTCAAAATAAAGTTTTTCCTGAAATTGAATAGGATGGAAGCTGCATGACAGTATCATTATTCCTACTATCACCCACCAACAGGTAATTTCCTGTCAAAAAAAAGCAGCAAAGCAAGTAGAAAAAAGTGTGAACACCCACAACTAGAAGGCTGTGTGTTGCAGTCCCGCCAGCCATGACAGGTTTACTTTATTCATATGAAAGAATTGGGTGCTTTTAACTATTTTGAGTAGTATACTAGTATTTTATCTCATTTTACCTACAATAGACATGCAGTTCATTTTCAGAGTAAGACTAGGATTAGAGCTGTTAAGCTAACTGGATAATTCCAGAATGGTTGAGTTTTGTTGGAAGAAAGTTTGCAGACATGTTAAGCCTCGCTATCCCTGAACTTAGGAAGTAAGATTGTTAACGGACATCAAACTTCGGAACTGCTACCAGCAACTACAGAGATTAGGCGATTATTTGTTTTAGTTGGTACAGAATTTTCTTTTGTTCTTACAGTGTCAGTGGGGGAAAGAAATTAAAAAACAAAACAGCTGCCTTCATGAGGCACATGAATGTCGACACTTTCCCACCTAAACGACTGCGCAAATGGATATGCCCTATCGAAGGGAGATAATTCCTATCGGTCTCCACTGCTTCAAACGTTGTATGTTTCTAGGTTTGTCAGTACCATACCCGTGCTCGTGGGTTTCACCGAAGTGGTAAACGCCTGAAACCTGCATCACTTCGGGCTTTCCTCCCACATTAAGCAGTCACGCCGTGATATAACTGGAATACTGTTAAAAGCTGCGTTAAACCCAACTCACTCACTCACTCACTCACTCACTCAAACGTTGTAGCAAACACGTTGCTATATATATTTCACAATGAGTCCTCTTTTGAACACAAACTAATTTGAGTGATATTTCATGTTAGTTTATTTTTTCATATCATTAAAGACAGCAGTATTATATAAATAACCTGAAAAAATCTTTTCATTTTTTTTATTTTGCTATTTTCATGTTGGCGAATCTGTAAACCACACACACAAATTAATCGCCGCAATCTTATTAAAATGAGATCTTAGTTCTCATTACCGTTAAACAAAGTTGGTTCAGTGGTAGCGAGAATGAAGATCTGATTTTAATGAGATTGGAATCGCCTTTGTTTGCTATGAATACCATTTACCTCTAAGCCTGGCTGTACATCTGGAGTCAGATAGCTGACCGTGGGATGCCTCATGCGGAGTACTTTCCTGTACTGAACCCTCGTCACTCACTGGGGACGCTCGTCACGCTGAAGACCCGGGTTTGGTTCCCGACATGGGTACAATATGTGAAGCCCATTTCTGGTGTCCCCCGCCGTGATATTCCTGGAATATTGCTAAAAGCGGCGTAAAGCCATACTCACTCACTCATCACTCACTGAAGCTTTAAAGCTAATGTCACAAATATTGTGGTTACAATTTCTCGCAATATTTAAAATATCCGAGTTTCGATATCCTCTCATGAATACAAATTGTGAAGCTATATCCTAATCATGATTGATGTTAAGTTTTCCTGGATTTCAAACAGAATTAGTTATTTTTCTTAAGAAAATTTAATTCATTTCTAAAATCCATAATTTATTAAAATAATTGTTAGTTCATATACTCATGACTCCATCAAGTATGTAACGAAACACAGCACCAAAGATCTAACCGTATATATTTTTACATTGCACTGTCAACTGGATATTTTTAACAAGGTGTTATCTGTGCTGCAGCCTGTCAAGGAATCGGAATGAGAGTGTGTAGTTTTGAAGCAATCTGATTACGGTCACAAAAAGTACCTGTTCTACTCTTTTGTAAAGTAAGTCTTAACTGTGAAACAGTATTGTTCTTCTTGGGCAAATGCAAGTTCATCTTAGACCTTCTTCTCCCCACCATGTGTGTCCCGGAGAACTTGGTATAGAACGTGTATGTTTAGGAAACCTTACGCGGGATCCTGCTACAACAGATTTATTTTACCGACATGTTTCAATATGACATTGTAAAAGAATTAAACAAATTCAATATTTATAGGAAACGGCTGTTTAATTGAACTGAGGTTAACTTGTGCTATGTCAATTGACTTCCATTGACTTGGAAAAAGCATGCAGCTTTTCGCTTCATAGCGATATGAGGGATTTATTCTCCCTGTCAGAAATCCACTTGCAACTTGTGTTGTTCATGTTGGGGTATAAGGGATATATTCTCCTGCTGAGAAATTTATTTCCCTCCAAGGCGGGATACACAGAATGTTATCAAGATCACGCGAACCAATCAGATCTCATCATTCTGACATGGAGGTATGATAATTTCAGTTGTAGCCTTTTGAAGGGTACATTTTGAGTCGTATAAGTTTCACATAGACTTGCTACTTTATCCAATGATTATTTTTATGCTATTTATTTCAATTTTCAAATTGAAGTTGAAGTAAATAAATCAAATCAGTTTAACACTGTTAACCGAACTATTTCAGTCAAACGACAGCCAGTCTTGTGTCATCATTCGTGATATATATTCCCTTTACACCAAGATGATTTGTGCTATTCCCGTCTCTCTCTCAGAATGATTATTTCAGGGTCATTCATGGCCCACTTGTCTGAGGTGCTGCAAACCCAGGGCAGAGTTGTGTCCCTTAGCCATGCCAGGATACCCTGGTGTGGATTTGAATCCCAGATGTGCCCCGATTATGATTCTTAGTCTGTCTGCACATCATGGAATTATGGATTTTGTCAGAATTGTAGCAGTCTGTGACTTGTATCTCTCTATGTTTCTTTTAATGAGCTCTTTTTATAATCAACATCTTTGACCTGTGATCCCAGTGATATGGCTGTGTTTGTTTTTTTCTTTCTTTGTTACTTTGTCCTTTATTACTGTTTGTTTGTTGTTTATCGCCACACTCAGCAATATTCCAGCAATATGACGGCAGCCTGAAAAAATCGAGTCTGGACCAGGCAATACAGTGATTGATATCATGAGCATCGATCTACACAATTGGGTCATAATGACATGTATCAACCAAGTCAGCGAGCCTGACCACCCGATCCCCCATTAGGGACCTTTTATGACAAGCATGAGTTGCTGAAGACCAATTCTAACCCAGATCTTCATGGGGATATCTGTAAAGGAAGGTACTAAAAGCTGTCAGTCGCATCCATTGTTTGATGGAATCTGGTATAACTGATGTATATAACTGATTATAGTTATCTTATTTTTAGTAAGAATTTATCATTTCCCAAATCAGAAACATTTCACAACCAGTTTATCAATTTGGACCAACCAAAACCATGGAAAAGACAGATAGACCCTTTTTGGTGACTTTTTACTTTCTGTGTTGGGGCATTGGGGTAGCCTAGTGATTAAAGCGTTTGCTCGTCAGGGCGAAGCCCTGGGTTCAATTCCCCACATGGGTACAATGTAAAGTTCATTTCAGTGTTTTTCGTGATATTGCTGGAATATTGCTCAAAAGGGACATAAAACCATACCCACTCACAGTGTGACCTTCACCTTTTCATTCACACCATCCAATGATAACATTAAGAGTGTTGTCTAGTGCCACCTTGTGTGCAACATCAACATCTGTGGACTACCCGGTATTGTTCTGTTATGAAATCATGGCAATAACATGGCTGAAGAAGCTATAAGGATGTTAGCTAAGATCTTGGGACATGCAAGTTTTCATATGATCGTCTCTGTTGTATATAGGCTGTTAATGTTCCATTATTTACAAGCCAAAGTCTGTGCAATCCATTGCTATTCTATTTGTTAAGCTGTTGATGTGTACATAACTGTAAAAATGTAGAAATGTATATCTTGTCCAAGGAGTGTGTGTGACTGCTTGAACCACATATTGGGTGCTGTGTATATACATGCGAGGAATAAATGTGTCCTTCTACCTGGCTCGACTAGTTACTCACCTCTACTTCCTTCAGGTGCTCACAAAACCTCTGGTCACCTCCGGGCGGTCGGGTAGCCTAGTGGTTAGAGTGTTCGCTCATCACGCCAAAGACCCGGGTTCGATTCCCGATGTGGGTACAATGTGTGAAGCCCATTTGTGGTGCCCCCCGCCGTGTTATTGCTGGAATATTGCTAAAAGCGGCGTAAAACCATACTCACTCACTCACTCTGGCCACCTTCCTGGTCTTGTGGAAAGACCGTCTGCCCGGGAGCGGAAGGTCATGGTTCCATCCCATGGCTGCTTTATACCCGAAGACTGGTCAGGTCAGAGTCAGAATTCTATGTCTGACTGTGGCAACCATGATAAACTGAGGCATGGTATCTCATTTGCCAAGCTTTTTGTTTGTTTGTTGTTTAGTCCTCAGCAGTATTCAGCAGTATTCCAGCTTATTGAAGTCGGTCTGAAAAATTATCGAGTCACAAACGGAGTCACCCAGAATTGGACAGCTGACACCTCAATGAAGAACAGTCCTATTTGGTGATTCCAGATAGGAATATAGGCCCCCAAACATTCCCGTGATGGTTGTCCCAAGAGGCGACTAAATGGACTTCATTGATTGCATGACATCGTGGCAATTGTCATGGATGGATTGTTTGTTTGTTTGTTTGTTTGTTGTTTAACGCCCGGTCAGCAATTTTCCAGCTATATGACGGGGATCTGTAAATAATCAAGTCTGGACCAGACAATCCAGTGATTGACGTCATGAGCATCGACCCACGCAATTGGGATACAATGACATGCATTAACCAAGTCACGAGTCTGACCACCCGATCGCCTTAGTTGAATTTTCATAATGAGCTGTCAAATCCATGTTATAAACCATGACGGGTTGTTGTTCAAAAACGCCCTCAGCAATATTCCAGCTATAAGATGGCGGTCTGAAAGATTATCAAGTCTGGACCAGACAATCCAGTGATTGACATCATGAGCACCGATCCACGCAATTGGGATACGATGACATGCATCAACCAAGTCAGCAGGTCTGACTACCCAATCCCATTACGTGCCTCTTACGACAAGCATAGTCGCCTTTTATGGCAAGCATGGGTTCCTAAAGACCTATTCTAACCCGATCTTCATGGGCCCATCTGTCTAGCACTATGAAAGAGTCTTAAGTCTGGATCAGTACACGCACATCTCCAAGAAATATAAAAATACTTCAGCTTTACTTTTACAGCCACACACCCCTCCTTGAAATTTCAAAATGTTATGTTGAAATTTCAAGATACTAAGTTTAAATCACATGCTACATTCTAAGTTGAAATTTCAAGACAATGATCTTGAAATTTCAAGATAATAAGTTGATATTTCAAGTTAATATCTAGAAATTTATCACGAAACTTGTCTTGAAATGTTAACTTTTGTATCTTGAAATTTCAACATAACATCTTGAAAATTCAAGTTAGTATCTTGAAATTTCAAGAAAAAAATAAAAACTAACAATTGGCCCGAAAAGGATTCCGTAAATGTGTGACACCCTACCACCTTTAACAAAACGTAAGGCACACACAGAGTCGCCCAGAATTGGACCGCTGACACCTCAATGAAGAACAGTCTCATTTGGTGATTCCGGGTGGGAATATAGGCCCCGAACATTCCAGTGTTGGTTGTCCCAAGAAGCGACAAAATGGACTTTGTTGATTGCAAGACATCCTTACAATTATGGATGGATGGATTGTTTGATTGTTTGTTTGTTAGTTTGTTTGTTGTTTAACGCCACACTCAGCAATATTTCAGCTATATGACGACCACCTGTACATAATCGAGTCTGAACCAGACAATCCAGTGACTGACATCGTGAGCATCGATCTACGCAACTGGGATACGATGACATGGATTAACCAACTCAGCGAGTCTGACCATTCGATGTCGTTAGTATGGGTTGCTCAAGACCTATTCTACCCCATCTTCCCGGGGCAAGAGAGTTAACTTACTTTAAAAGTCCAGTTTCCACCCTTGCCGAACTTGGCTGGAATTACTGGGCTCGATCGTTGCGCCACCAGTGGCTATTACCAATTATGTCCCTTCTAAACCTCTCCTGTGGACCAATCAGATTCCACCTCTCGCATCACTTGCGTTTGCTTCACACAAAATGGTGGCGCCCAGTCAGGACGATCTGATCGATAATCAAGATCTATCTTGTGATAAAACGGGTCTTACATCGCAAAATGCATCAAATCACGTGAGCCCCTTGATTAAAAACATGAAAGGATTTGGAAAATATCTGCTGACAACGAGTTGGCGGTACATGCTTTGCAAATCCTGCAATCGATCGAAATCTGCACGACAGCTTACGAACCGGATTTTGATTTCGGTGCGCGAAGTTGATTGGACTATGCATAGACTCGTTAGTCCAGACAAAATGTAACCCCATAATACCAGGCTAGTTCGGCAAGGGTGGAAACTGGACTGTTAAAGTCAGTTAACTCTCTTGCCTCGGGAAGATGATTCTACCCCGGATCTTCACAGGTCATGGATGGATGCTATTGATGTTACTGTTATTTTAAACATGTGTTATTGTCTGAATGTATTTGAGTTGGGTTTAACGCCTCTTTAAACAGTATCCAAGTTATATCACTGCGTGTCAGCTTAATGTGGGAGGAAAGCCCGAAGTGATGCAGGTCTCAGACGTCTACCACTTCGGTGAAACCAACGAGCACGGATATGGTGCTGACAAACCTAGAAACATAATCGGGGCGAACCGGGATTCGAACCTACAATCATAGGTTTCTGGCGTGCCCAAGGGACGCAATTCTGCACAGGGAATCGCGGCGCCTTAGACGACTGGGCCACCCGTGCCCCACTGAATGTATTTGAGCGAAAGTGACCCTCTCGCACTATACAGTATGACACAATATTCAAGCATACTGAATATGTACAACAGATACATGCATAAATACATATATAATCCCACGAGTTCCCTTCTACGCCAAGTGGAATCTGTTTCGGCAGATAATCGAGACTGATTATTCTCCGGCATTGACTTCATATATTTACATACTATTGTCTGACCAATTGTGCAAATATATTTAGCGTTTGATCAGTGAATTAATAGAATGGTGTGTTGGATAAAATAATAAATCTTTTGGATTCATTTATATAATCATGTACTGCTTGGAAAATGCGTTTGTAATAACCAAACGTCACCATAAAGAAATGTGTGAGACTGGTTGTCCTCAATTGTTCAATGTTGCAAAGAAAAGTGTCGTCCATCTTCCCGGGACAAGGGAGTTAACTGGCTGTGGAATCTGGACTTGTATAGTCGGTTAACTCCCTTGCCTCGGGAAGATGAGTAGTGGGATATTGTTATAGTTAATACATTCAGCAACCTATGTTTACAGCAAGAGGCACCTAATAGGGATATGATGGTCAGTCTCGGTGACCTAGTTGATGAAATGGCGTTATATCCCAATTCGCGTGGATGGATGCTCATGATGTCAATCACTGGATTGTCTTAGACTAGGTCTTCAGCAACCCATGCTTGCCGTGAAAGGCGACTGACGGGATCGGGTGGTCAGGCCTCGCTGACCTGGTTGATGTATGACATCGTGTCCAGATTTCGTGGATTGATGCTCATGGTGTCAATAACGGGATTGTCTGATCCAGACTCGATTATTTACAGACCGCCGTCATATACCTGGAATATTGCTGAGTGCGGCGTTAAACAACAAACAAACAAAACAATCAAACAAACAGTAGTCATGGTGTTCATTGTGAAGTGTTCCTGGACTTCTTTTGAATAGGGCGGTCGGGTAGCCTAGTGGTTAAAGCGTTCGCTCGTCACGTCGAATACCCGGGTTCGATTCCCGACATGGGTACAATGTGTGAAGCCCATTTCTGGTGTCCCCTGCCGTGATAATGCTGGAATATTGCTAAAAGCGGCGTAAAACCATACTCACTTACTCTTTTGTGTAGTATGCATTATTATGCAATATCTGAGTATGTTCACACACACACACACACACAC